AGGCTCTGCTGAGGATTCCACAGAACTCTGATCGATAAATTTGGTTGCGCGTTGTGTCTTTGGAGCTTCAGAAATTTCTTTAGAAGGTCTTCTCATCGTTTGCTGACCTTCTTGCTCGTAAGGAATTAAATCAGGACATGCTGTTATTCCCTGGATTTCGTCGGAAGGAGATTCCAAATATTGGGTGGAAGGTTCAGTCATGGATAACGAGTCTGTGGGCACTGGATCGGTGCTCTCAGATCGATGGTTTGGAGACACCTCAACTGGTGGTGGTTTTGTCTCCTCCTTTTTTAGGATTACGTCAGGAATGACGTCTTCTATTTCTTCAACTGTATCATCTTTGCTGGAGAATGCATTTGCAGGCGGAAGTTTGTGAAGAGCTACTACCGGAGCGTCCAAAGACTTCGCTCGTCTTTGAGAGGTTGGAGATTGTGTCGCTCCTTGGCGCTGTAGAGCACCAATGCCACTACCTTCCGATAGACCCAAACGAGCAAAGAGCATCGGGGAATCCCCTGGTTTTCTTGCATTTGTTGGGGACACAATTGGCTTCTGAAATTTATCGAATTTCTCTTCTGCCTTTGATTCTATTTTTTCCTTTGATTCAACTTTTGATTCCTGTTTCTCCTCAACCTTCTCTGGCTTGTGATCAATCTTTGTCTCCTTTTGCTCCTTTGGCTTCTCTTCTAACGGTTTCACATCTGAGTTCTGAGTTTCTAGCTCTTCTGCTTCTTTAGCCATCACTTCTTCAATTGATTCTTCGATGAATGCTGGTTCTTTAGGCTCAACAGGCGATCGCGTTGCTGGAGATCGAGAGGGAGACCTTCTGTGCGGAGAGATTTTTCCATCCATCGACTTTCCTTTGGTCATTTTCTTCGGTGATACTTTTTCGCCTGTCTCTCTCTCTGTACTCCCAAGGCTCTTAGATATTCCTAAGGACTTTGGCCGCTGTTTATCTGGCTTCAGAGCTCCAAGATTTTTGATTATTTCCTCGTCGACGGAGGCTGATTTAGCACGTGGTTTTTTTGGCTCTTCATCTTTCGATGTAGAGAACGAACGATCAGATAATCGCGTTATTGATTTTGATCTTCCCTTCTGCACAATGCTAATCTCAGGCTCAACATCTGTGGAGTCGATGATTATAATTTCTTGAGGCATCTCTCCCAATTTCAATTTTGATTTATCAATCTTTGAACTCGCCGGAGATAATTTAGCTTCCTTAGATAAGCTCTTCTTGAGAGGTGGTTTATCACCCTCCAGGGACTTTGATTGTTTTTTGAAGTCCTTTTTCGGTTCAGATTTTGCCTTCTTGATCTTTTTCGGTGACACATCTTGAATGAAATGCTTATTTTCAAATTCAGGTGATAAAAGAGTGTCTATTGGCGCTTTTTCTTCGGCGAGTGATAAGGACTTTGATCTCAACGGTTCGGCGTGAGGTCTGAGCATGAATGGATTGAAGTCTGGTACTTTTAAACTGTCAAGTTCAAATGCTGGTTTGACAGGTACTTCGTCCAGTGGCAAATCAGCCACTGGATCCACGAAATCATCGTGTCCTGTGTCGATTATCTTTGGCCTCGGAACTTTTGTCGACGAGTTCTTGTTGAATTCTGAAAATCTGGACTCTATTCGATCTAAGATGCGTTTCGTTTTCTCTGGAATACTGGGTTTCTCGAAGGTTTTCGATTTTTCAGCCTTTTTCTGCGGAGAAGTGCCCGGTTTGGGAGAGGGTGATTTGGCCTCCCGTTTACTTTCAGATTTGCGTTCAGGCTTATCCTCAGATTCAAAATTAACAGTTTCCGACTTCGAGGCCAAATGATCCTTCGATGAAACTGGAGGTTTCGCAGGAAGAGGAGGCTTGGTAGCACCTTTCATCGGAATTTCTGGGAGAGGAATTTTCTCGATGCTGTCCTGTTTCTCTAGCGAATCATCTGGGACCTTGAGCTGCTGTTTTTCAGTACTCTGCTGACGTCTTTGTTGTTCTTGTTTCATTTCCTCAACAACGACGTCTGCAAAATTGAGAGACATCTTCGATGGAGATCTCTCAGAGCCAGAGTGACTTGGGCTGACTTCACAAGACCTTCTTTTCTCAATAACAGACACTATTGTTACATTTGAATCACTTGGCGATTTTTTAGGTGATCGTTTCTCTATTACGGAGATGATCGTAACATTTGGGTCGGTGGGGGAGAGTTTACTGTACTTCTTATCGATACTGGACCTCGATTCCCCTCTGATTTTGTCTAATGAAGGGGACTTGGTGGGTGTTCTCAACGGAGACTTGAGAATGCCCGGAGGAGGGCTCTTCTCAGAAGGTATATGGATTATCTTGGGTTCTGTGGGAGAGAGTTTGGGACTCAGCATCTTGGGAGACTTGGCTTTATCAGGACTGATTAGAATGCTCTTGGGTCTATCTGTCGAGAGTTTGCTGACGGAAATCGATGTGGGAGTCGGTGGCAGTTTAGTCAAATCTAGAAGGGAAACATCAGTGACTTGTTTAATAGGTAATTTCGGAAGTTCAGCAGCTTTGGGCATCTTTGAATTCTTTCCACTGTCAGATTCTGACTTCTCATCCGACGCAGTTCCATTCATCACATGTCGTTTGTGCAAAGTATACGGAATATCGGCATTGGGTTTCTTCGGAGCACCATCAACAAAAGCATCCTCGTCGCCGGAATCAGCTGGGGTGAGGTCGATGGATTTTTGATGCATGAGAATGTGGCGTTTACTGTTAGATCCAATCCGCTGTCTTCCGGGATTTGGATCGCTCTTTGTGCGTTCAACTGGAATGTGTCCGGCTAATGCGCTATCATCGAAACCCAAAATCACTCCGCCAACTACTTTAGGATCGTACTCAGAAAATCCTGCTTTCGGTTTGACACTCTCCCACTCATTAGGAACACCAATTATGGTTTCTGTTCTGGACTCCATGAATACTTTGATCTGCTTCTCCCGGTCTCGTCTCTCTTCCTCTTTTCTGGCGCGTTCTAAGCTTCGCCAGTCGTCCCTCTCCCTCGGTGATTCATCATCACCTTTCTTTTTACTATTTTTCCGAGACTGCTCGACTTTCTCCGAGCTTTTCATTTCCACAAACGATCGGGGCAACCCATCGGAACTCCTTCGCTCTCGTGAATCCATACGGTCCAGGCTCTTTCTATCTCTAGAATCTTGTTTAACGTAACTTTTCCGCTCACTCCCTTGTCTCTCAATTCTCCTATCGTGAGGTTTTTCCGTAGAGTCATATCTCTCCATTACATTTCGATCTAATAATCCTAATCTCTCAATTGTTCGAGGATCAAAGTCAAAAGTCGGCCTATCTCTTGAATCCAGCCGTTCGTAACTCTTGCCTCGAGGTTCTCTCGGGCTGTGACGATCAAATGGACTTCTGTTCCCCGAGTCAAATCGTTCTAAAGTGTGCCTATCATACTCATAAGCTTTCGGGCTTTTCCTGGACTCCCGTGAATCCAATCGCTCAATGCTGCGTTCTCGTCGCTCACGAGAGTCGGAGTGACGGAATGGGCCCTTCTCCTTGGGACTTCTGTCAAGAGTCTCCAAACTTTTACGCATCTCTCGAGAGTCTAAGCGCTCCGTGCTTGTAACTCTCGACTCGCGGTAATCCCTCCGTCCATTTTTCCCTCTGTCGAGCCTCTCGTAGCTCCTCTCACGTGAATCCAACCGTTCAATGCTCCTCCTTAATTCTCTACTGTCATTCCTCTCCATTCGTATCTGCGCTTCGCGGAAATCTAAACGCTCCATGCTTCGTCGTTCACGTGAATCCATTCGACCCATTGATCTCTTTTCCCTCGAGTCACTTTTCTCTAATCTACGAATTTCCCGGAAATTTTCACGCTCAATTCGTTTGCGCTCTTCACGCTCGAAACTCTTTCGCTCTTTCATCGCAATTTTATCGATTTTCTTATCACGATGATTACGACCTAGACTACCGGTTTCGACGTAAGGCCTGTGGATAACATGATCCTCGAGACTGGCTATACTACGTGCGCGCGTAGTTTTTTCGCGTGCTTTATCTAGAATAGTGCGATTGGTTTCTACTGGACTCAAGTCATCATCAATTCGCGACTTAGGACGCATTATACCCTCGTCCCTCAGGACTTCCGAGTCAACGTGAGTTATTTTATACTTTGGCTTTAAATTTTTGAGTTCATTCATAACAGTTAACTTCTGCTTTTGAACTTGCAGAACAATAGGATCCTTTCGCGCGGAATCCTGATGTGGTAACGGGGGCTTAGAAGACTGATCAATCAAATTTATTTGCCGTGGCTCGTACTTACGCTCTATCTGAGTACTTGTGCGCTGAATTCTGGTCTCGGTTACAAGTAAATTACTAGCCTCAGTTTTAGACGCTGCTGAGCACCGATCGGTCGACTTAATCTTGGCATTTTTAATGTCAGCGAGCACGGATTTGAATAATTGTTTGTCAGTGGATTTAATTGATCTGTGCTTGACAAACGAGTCTGTCTCCGAGTCCATTTGAAACATCTCCTGTTCAATTCCTTCATCACTATTATCAGAGACTGCCTCATCTCGTGGACTGGAGTAAGACTCGGGATATTCAAATTCGTGCTCACGCTCGAGTAGTTCGTACGAATCGTGGGATAAATCGTCGTGCGATAGATCAGCACCAGGACCGGACTCCTCGTGGCCCGATTCAGTGGATAATGATGATGTGCCTGGATATGAACTACTGTAAACACGCTCTGGTACAGAGTCATGATCTAATGATGGTAATTTTGAACTTGCCGCGCTGTATGAACGATTAGTCTCGTCATAACGTGTTATCGGATTGTCAAGTTCACCCTGTGAGGGCAATTGTATTGTATCAAGGCCACCCTCGGGCTTTTCGTCAGTTTTACGCGCACGTCCAGAGTCCTCGAAACTCGATGCATATAACTCACGACAACTCGAGGAACGTTGCCAGGGATAGAGGGGCTGGGGTCTCGGTGGTGGAAATTCAGGGGGACTGCTGTTAGAGGGGCTGATACGACCTGTTGACGATGTTATCCGTTGTTGCTGCTGATGTGCACCCATAGTATGACGATGTGATTGTGCCTGATTGGGGGTAGCTGGTGAATGGACGTCTATAGAGGTGAGCGTCCGATAAGACATAGCTGTGTCGTCTCGACGGTGACTCGTCCCGCCCATCGAGACACTCGTCACAGTCGTCGGAGAATCCAGTGTCATCGAACCGCATGACAGAGACAGTGCCGGGGTTCCCAGTGCTGTTTATTTGAAAAAAAAAGAACAAGAAAAAATGAATAATTGATTTTGGGCTGATCACTGGGTCACATTTCAAAGAGTGTTTATGTTAGTAACTATGTGTGTTTCAATGGCAGTCAAAAGCGGTTGAGAATGTTGTGGCCTTCTGTCATTTTTTTTCTTTCGCCACTGCAATATTTTTAACTACTGGTTGCAAACATTTAACTCCAATCACAACATTTCCAGGGGATTACAAACGCCGGTGCTCATTCTGCCGACTTTTGATTGTCAGTAGTGTTTCAATTGTTAATTCCCTCGGTTTGTGTCTAAAGTTGAATAGGCAGCTCAATTTATTTTTGTATCAAAGCACTCCTACGTTTAACTCTATTTATCACCTAAGCGCTACGTCTACAGTAGGACAGTTTATTTACAATTACTCTCAAATGTAAATAAAAATATAACACAAAAAGACAGGAACTAAAATTCTGTACGGATATTGGAAAATCAAGAAATGATACAGTAAAGCGTCTTCTTTTTCGTTTCTTCAACTTTCGTTTCTCAATGAACAAAAAAAAAAAACTTTATTCTCTTTTTTTTTCTTTTTGTGTGGTGGTGTTCGGTCGTGGTACATACCAGGGTCGCCAAGAGGCAGGAGGGGGTGGGCAGAGATGCTGGAGCTGCCCATAAGCGAGCTGCTTGGGGTGGCGCCACGATAACCTCCCCCCTCCGAGCCCTGCAATGCCCTACCACCGCTAGTCTGCCGGAACGAATTGGACCTGCGAGCAAGAGAGAGTCAAGTTCAGCATCAGACCTGTGCCACCGCCAGAATGACAGGCTTTGTTTCGTTTTCTATATATATATAAATTTTCCCTCCAATTGTTAGATTTTTTTTTATCCTCGTCTTATAATTATGCCCCCTCTGTTTTTTTTCCATCTTTACAGGTCTCCGACAGTCGAGATCTGACAGTTCTCTCTTTTTGTTTCTTTTTTTTTTCACTTCCTTGTTCTTTTTCTAGTGACACTAGAGACCTCGAGGAGGTCGTAGCCTTCTTTATTCTGTTGAAATTATGAAACTGAGACTTAATGAGGAAAGAAACGTTAAATACTGACATAACACTGAAGAGATATTTCAGTAATTTTAATTTCGTTGTATCTAATAGGACAATTGAACAAAAGAAGCATTATTCTCTCTATTCCCAACTGTCATATTGGACTTTAATTTCAAATGTTTTTTATTCGCTCGGTGGTTACTAGACTATGAATTGAACAGAAAAACTATGGACAATATCCCTTTGGTTATCAGAAACGTTTGTTCTTCAGGAAGACACAGTTCGGAGAACTTTTGCATGCTCATATGGAAAAAGAGTGTGTAAACCTCCAATATTGTGCGATAAGAATTGATGATTTAAAAATAAGTGGAGACAATAACATTCGATCAAGTAGGACGCGGTGCCGATTTATAAATACCAATATTACCGCTAATTCGTATTTACAGGGATTGATTAATTGATGAATAAATTGAGTTACGGGTTTTACTGTGTGTACAAACGTGATTATTGAGTGAATTATATTTCATCTAATACTTTCTACTAGTTTTTTGCTCAAACCCCACTATCGATTATCTTAACCTTCGGCTATTCTATTATTAAAAACATTGAAAAATAGTGACGTGTGACATCGGTGATGGATAAAGTAAAGAATTTAATAACACGAAAGAGAAAAATAATGGACCATAAATACGCTTGATAGGTCGATATCGATAGATATTCTATAACTCATAATGATTAATGAAAAAAGGGTACATCGATCATTCGGGTTTTATCGTGCCTGATGGTGAGCCTGACTCCCCGCCACCCCTTGTTCGAGCAGGCAACACACTAATAGAGATTTTTTTCTTTTTTCACGTTTCTCATAACGATTATACTTCTTTTGTGGAATAATGTTTGTGTGCAGTGTAATAAAATAAATGATAAGTAACGTGGAATAGATTTTAGGCACACAAATCGTACTACAGGTCAAATAGACGAATCAGATCAAGGTTTAGCCGAATACAACAGGTTGCAATTCATTTAATGAGGTTAAAATCATTGTGAATTATTGATAAAATTAAAATTAATTTTTTTATAATTTACCGTCAATTTTTTCAAACAGAAAAAGGTAAAATGTTAATCACTGCTATCTCTCATTCACAATGAATTAATTAGTGAATAATTAGTGTAGCTGTGGTTATTTCAATTTTCCAAAGTTTAATTAACAGAATGTATCAAAGTCTACACTCTGTACTCAAGACTTTGGTTTTAAAAAATTCTCATCTAACGAGATTTGAACTCGGAACCTTCGGATTACGAGTCAAATCCCCTAGCTCTGCGCCAAATAACTTCATAACTACAGACGGTGAGAATTTGATGAAACTTATTCACAATGATTCTAGCCCTCAGACATTTTAAAGGGTGCGATAAATGCAATTATACCGACATAACATGAACAAATAGTGATACTTCGTGTTGTCCCGGCGATAAGCGAGACCGTGCCACCTCCATCTCAATGAATAAAAACATCAAGGTGTTTATGTGTTACAATAAAAAGAAATTTTATCACTTTGTGCTTGGTACATTTAATGAAAAAGTCATCAACGTTATCAAAAAATCAATCTTGGGATTTTCCAGGGGGACAGACGCAACTTACTCATGCACTATCTACATTATTACTCTGAGTTAATGTATCTCATGGTATTTTTTAAAATCAAATCGGACAGCGATTCCAGCATTCCTGGCTTTGTCATAATTATATTTTTTTCATTTATCTTTATCTCAGTATTTGCCTTCTTTTTTCTTGTCAACGATTACTCACCTTTGAAATGTTTGACGTTTCACGTAGTTGTCACGAACGAACTCGACTATCTGCTTTTGCGTTTTTCCGCTGTACCTGTTGACAACAAATATGAATAAAAATGTCAGTAATAATACTTTTGCGAGTCAAGAATTAATTACGTTTCATAGACGTTTATCTTTGCAATTACTTGTGTGATTATTTTAGAAATATCTCTGGGCGTTCTTTGATACCGCCAGAGCATTTTTTAGAGAAAATATTACCGATTACGCACAATTGAGTCTCTTCATTTTTTGACACATTTAATGTTTTGCATTAAGGAGATTTGATTTGTTAATGGAAAATGATCACTTTGATTGAATTTAATTTGTAGAATGTTCGTATAGTCCATACGCAATACCCCCTCCTTCCCGTGTGCAATGAAAGGGCGGAAGTATTTCAGGTTGTTGCCTTATGTTTTTTGGGCTGGAGAGACCGAATCTGTCAGTGTTTTTCTTCTGTGAGCGTGCATCCAAAAGTTATCAACAATTCAATTGTTTAAACCGAGTTGGCAAGACAACGATCAAAAATAAAGAAAAATACTTCAAATAAAAGATATTGCTTTCGTTGAATTGAACATATTTGCTTTTATGTATTTCTTTCTTATTTCAATTATTCAGGGAGATATCGAGAGTCAAAAGAATCGTCGTGTTTGTCGACGCGGGGCAGGGTGGGCGGCACGGGGTACTGCGCTCCATGCATTTCCACAGGGAGTTTGAATCCCGAATATCTCGAAAAATAGTCTAGATACGGAAGAAATCGATACCAGCAAATATGTTCAGTTTTACAAAAGGAACATCTTTTGTTCGAAATACATTTCTGTATCTTTAATAGTTTTCGAGCAAACTCGGTTTAAACAATTGAATTGTTAATAACTTTTGGATGCATGGTCTCAGATGAAAAATACTGACGGATTCGGTTTTTCCAGGCCAAAAACCATAAGAAAACACCCTGCAATGCTTCCGCCCTTTTAGTGCACACGGGAAGGGGGTATTGCGTATGGACAGTAGTAGTTGCACGTTTTTTTAAGAATTGTTCTAGGTTGTATTTTTCATTTTTTCCCTTGAAACAATATCATCAGTGCAAAAAACGTCTTTCATTGTTAATAACTTAAAAACAAAGTCTAGAAAAATTCATACATAATCTACTTATCATTATGAACATCATATATGAATTGTAGATTAGTCATCATTTATTTTTTAATTAAAATCCTCAAATGTGCCAACCTAAGTACACATTGTGTATTTCAAAATTCACATTGTCTGTTTTAAAGTTATGAATGTCCAAATTATTCTGGACAATAATAATTAAGCAGGTATAATTTAAGTCTGTGAAATTCGAAAAAAACTAAATTCACCAATCCAAAGCCGAGTTTTAATTGGTATATCGTAAAATTCCGATTGCACAATATATAATTGTGATGAGACATTATAATTTAGTGAAATTTAATATGTATGTCGAGTAATTAAAATGTGGAGATTACAATTTCTGTAGAAAGTCTTGATGCAAAAAATGACATGAGTCAACAATGAAGGGACTCCATTGTAGTTAACCGATCATTGTTAAGAAAATGTTGTGTCGGTGTTAAAGCATGCCATAACTTTTGAATGAATGATGAAAATATCAAGAGATTATTTTTGTAGCTCATTGAATTTTCCGGAGATAAGAACAAAATTATCAGCAAATCTTCTTCCAATCTGTTTTTCTTCTATCAATTTTTGTTCTTCAAATAGAGTAGGAAAAATACCTGAAGGATGAGCCTCGACTGAGAACCCTGGTTTTCTGCCTAATGACTCGTTTAACAACAGAACACCTGAAGAAACCGTGATTCTCCACGCATTTTTTCCAAAAATTTTTGCACTCGTTTCTCCCCTCGAAGAAAAACTCCACCGTATCCTTGTAATATCCCTGCAGAAATAGTAAATGGATTGACTCAAGGGGGGCATGAATTATAAATACTCTACAATCTAAATATACTCACGTATCCCTCGGGGTGTAGTTTGATTAAGAATCGTTTCCGTTTGAAACTTATTTTACGTATTTTAGCCCAACTAAATGTGTTTATCTTTGTGTAATGTTGAAAGACTATAATGCCCATGTGTGCCACTGCTAAATTCAGTGGAACTCCCTCGTGATCCTTGACAATGAACGAAGGAATAATTAAGAAAAACCGTGAAGGAATAAAGGGCTAAGTAAAAAGAGTTATGAACTGTTTTATTCACCTTAGCCGGATGCATTTTCATTCCGTACAATTCACACCGACGCGCTGTCTCCAGAAGATTTAAATCTGCCTCTGCGGGAGACTGACCTCTGCAATATAAATAGAAGAAAACGAACATTAAAACTTATGAAAATATTTCAAATGTATGTTTCAGATTTTTTTTATTGCGATTTGTCCGTAATGTACAAGTTACTGACATTGCCCTAGTACCTCACATTTTCGATGGTTTTTGATGAATATCAAAGGTAAAAATTTATCAAGTGCAAAGTGTTTTGTATACTTTACTTGAGAACATGAATAATTAGAATAATTATTACATAATAATAATACGATAAAATTTTTAGTCTGAAATTCTCAATTTCTGTGATTTATTCTATTCATTTTATGGAAAGACAAGGATAGAAGGCGAATTTATGGGTATTCTTCCATTATTCGAAAGAATATGTCGATTTTAAAACTTTCCGGAGACATTAAAAAATTAAAATTTTATTTCTTCCCTATTTATTCTTATTGAAATTGGATGATAAAATTCTAAAATATTCATATCCCGCCCATATTCGAAAACAAAGCAGTAATTCCAAGTTTCCACTGACACAAATGAAGAAAAACAAATTTTCCCCATTTTCTAGCCGATCATCCCTTTTTAAAAGTTTTCAGTCTCCAATTCGTGGTTTTTGCAATTCATTGCCATTTATCTAATTCTATTAATTATTCGAAAAGGAATAGATTTTAAAAAATTTCAGAAATACATGGATAAATTTTTATATTATATCCGAAAGAGGTTTCAAATGACTTTTGCTTTATCTGTTTGTTTTGATCACAAATAAAATCTTTTTATTGATCTTTAACATAATCCCTCTTCATTCAATGTTGTAACATATGAATTAAGGGGAAAAAATTTATTTACATATATAATAAAAATAAGAGTGGACAAAATTAAATTAATCTAATTGTAACGATGGAAATGGAAAGAAAAAATAATAGAATAGTATAAACTAACCTGGCGGCGGGCGTATTGCGCCCGTTTGCTAGTTCATTATAATAATTATAGGCATCAGAATGAAAAATTGGACAAATTTTTATAATTAAACAATAAGAAGTCCGAGGTTAGCCGCGGCAACGTCAATCAGTTTTAATTAGTGGCACAAGCCCATGCCCCGATTTCCAACTCTCGCATGAAAAAAGGAAAAATTACATTTGTCAATCATCCAATTGGTGAATGAGAACAAATGATCTCCCGTAAGTTCGATCACGTTGCAACAAAAAAGTTCTATTTATTTCTCTCATACAGGTCAGGAATTCCTAAAATAAATACCACGAAGAATCCTTCATAAAACTTTCTCTATAAAGAATCTAAATTTTTGTAAACCTTCCTGTTGAGCGGATTCCTATGAAAAGATGTCCCAATTTTTAGAGGATAATCTTATAAAAATTTCAATAAAAAATTCTGCGGAATGATTCAATAGAAATTTTTCACACATGTTTCTATCTGTCATAAGCTCGTTCCAAAGGGTGTCAGTTACTGGGATATGGAGTATTCAACTCTTTTCTAAGTGTCAGAAACTGGGGCATACAGAAGTTCCTTATTCAGATGGATATTGATTCATTTTGTTCTCTTCACCAAAAGGATGGAATACGCGAATTAAAAAGAAAATCTACAAATTAATTGCATTGAAAAATTGCCCCCACGTAGAGATCATTCATATCTCCCCACGTCAGTAACTAAGATATTGTCGATATATTATTCATTTCTATTCATTGTCATGTTGTTTAATTTTTCCTTACGCATGTTTTTTATGATTCTCCATGATCCGTCGCTCGAGCTCTTGATCCTGATGCGGTACAAACTTATACGTAGATAAATACGTATGATCTGGGTAATCTTCGATGACGTAATCTCCGCATTCGGCTGGTGACAAAGAAGAAAAAATGACGATACAATGGACATCTTCCATTCAATGATTTAAATCAACAGTACGTGATAATCAGTCGGAGAATCAGTCGATGTGTCGTAGTGTCTCACAGACACAATGAAAACTTACCCTGCACGATATAACTCGCCATCAGCGCAGCGGTATTGTCGTTGCACTGTAGATATCCCTGGGACAAGTCTCGCTTAATTTGCAAGCAAAACAAGTATCTGGTGAACTCCTCCTCGAGTTGGCCGGGATCGGGTGTGTAGAATTTCACGCAGAATCTTAGGAGTGGATCTACCAGGGAGAGACCAACTTGTCTACATACTGGTTTCTCCAGGTCTAGCCAGTACTGAAATTATTTTCATCGTGCAATCATCATATTTTGTCTTCTATAGTCGCTTCTAGTAATGAATCAGTGATTTGATGAGAGGAAAATCAACTTTTTTATGATAAAATGAGTCAATAGATTGGCTTCAGTTTTGAAAATGGGATTACCATGTCTGAAAATTAATATATTTTGATAATTCAATGAAACGGATCGGGTAAACCGGCCAATAGCTCGACTGTTGAGGAAAAGTTGTTTGCAATATGGATACTTCGCAAAAAAAACTTTATCAGATGATTATACATGAGTGTTATTATTGAAAGTTTGAATAATCAGCAGAGTTTTTGTTTTATTATTTGTAGAATATTCAATGAAAGTTGGGACCGTCCACCTACTGGCCAGTGTCCAGCTATTGGCCTTTTCAGCCTATTGAATAAACCGTAACTATGCTACATGCAATAGCATATCTGAAGGAGAATGCAGCTTTTCGTTCAGATCACGTAGTTTAAGAAATAGACGTTAATAATTTTTCGACTTCACCATTAAAATTTCTAACGGAGAAGCGGTAAAACAATTCAAGTCGATGTTGACTATTGGCCAGTTTTTAACGAATATCTCGAAATCTAAGGGAGATAGCGAAATTTTTGTCATGCCCTTTTTTGTAGCCCTCAATTTGCCCCATAAAAAAGATTATTACGAAAATTTCGTGATATCCCTTAGATTCTGAGATATTCCTCAAAAACTCTGCGGAGAGCAACACTTAGAAAAAAAAAACTTCTGCCAAATACATTTACTTGCCACAAATGGATATAAATATTTGCATTTAACATGTGTGGATTTTCTTGTGTTAGTAAATTTACTTGGCAAAAGAATTTTTTTTCTCAGTGTAAGTCGCCTTAAACCGTTTTATCGCTTCGCTACTGATATCGATCAACTTTTTTCCATGAAAGACATGCATCAAAATTAAAATGAATAATCATGACTTTAAAATTGTGTGTTGTACACAATGGTTAGTATATCCTAGAATACAGATTTTCAGAAGAGAATGCAATGCCATACAATTCCGACCAAGTGAAGTAAAAAAAATTGTCCACGAACGCGAGATTTAAACGCTCAATTATGAAAAAAATCCCGAAGTTTGTGGTAGAAAATGAGATGCATATTTATGCCGTCACATATTGACAAACATGACATCACGTGTTCCAACTCGTTTCAACAAACAATTCAAGAATCAGAAATTCCCATGGCAAGAGCGTCCATTCGGAAGCAGAAAATTAAAACGAAATTGGACGTTTAATTTCCCCCCGCCATTCATCTCTATAACTGTACATTGAGTCAAATGCAATTTTAATTCCATCCCAACCATTATTTATCCAATTTATTACTTATCTCAATAACTTCACCACTTATCTCATTTACTGGCTGAGGCGCTCATAAAAAATTGATGCATCATCCTATCCAATCGATAAGAAAAGGAAAAAAAAAAAGAGAGATAATGTATTCACCTTTGTTCCGTTCGGCTCCTGATACTCCAGACCGAAGTAGTCCGCTTCTAGTAGATGTAATTGTTTGCAGACTTGATCGAACAACACTCGGCCCATGGCTTTCGCCTGTAATTGCAATAAAACTCATTATAGAATGCAAATAATCTCCATATAAATGAAGTCGTTGTACAATTTTGAAAGAGTATTCTTTATCGAAGTGATAAAACGCAAAATGTCGACTTATCTCGTCATCTGCGGAGTTTGCTTGAGAATGAGTGATATTGCGATAAAATGTCAAGAGCTTTTTTCAGGAAATTTCTTCAGCTACGACAAAGGTTTTAAGGGGAGACTACTGAGTTTTAAAAGTCGAGGCTATTGGAGTGAGATTTCTCATGCATTGCAGATCGATTGTACATGTCGAAAAACGAATAATTACTGGAAAAAAATTAATTGTTTATTGTTCGTTTGCCTCGCAGACGCTTACAATGTTAAAAATATTCCAGGACCTCCAATTTTTGAGCTGCACAGATTTATTTTCAAAATAATAACGAATTAATTTTTTGAAATTCGACCTCTACACAGCTAATTTCGTTTTGTTTAATATAAAAATTTGCGCCATTCATGTACAATAGGCAGAAAAATAACCCTTAAAATATTTGAAATATATTCTCAATTCTTTCAGAAACATTTTTTCGGCTATTTTACATGAATGGTGCAGTTTTTTATTTAAAAAATAACGAAATTAGCTGTGTAGGAGATGAATTTCAAAGAACTAATTCGTAATTGTTATTGCACACATTTTTTCAAAAATAAAAAAAAAACTGTAGTTCAAACATTTGGAGGCCCCGGACTATTTTTAATATTTTAAGCGTCTGCGGGGCAAACGGACAATCAACAATTTTTTTCCCTAATTATTCGTTTTTAGACATATATCATAGATCTTGAATGTATGCGAAACCTCATTCCAATAGCCGGCGATTTTTAAAACTTATAATAGTCTCCCCTTAATATCTCATTATCAACTTCAACACACAATTTAACCCAGACATAAAAAGCAATTTTTTAATATTTAATCTTTGAAAATCATAACGCCAGCTTTGTCATAAAACTAAAATAATGAATGCATATTCCTGCTCTCCCAGGATTCCCATAATGTTGCATTATACACTGCTACTTCCATATGCATAATGAAAAAGAAGGAAAAAATCAGTTTGACATTTTTATAGAGAGCAAAACATGAGAGAATATAAACTCTCGTCCCAAAAATAAACAAACCGACCTAACTGCTCCAGGTATTATCTTCCGTGAGTACGCAAACATGTGCTTTATGAGAGCGAAAGAAAAAATGGGGAGGAAAAGAAAAATAAAAAAAAATGTAGCGAAAAAAAATCAATAAGTCAGTCCTGCAGCTTCTTTCCCTCGGTTGTTGGAAACTGACACACCTCAGCGTTAAACTCCATCACTGCTGGTGCATAATGTGCCCTAATAATTTATCCCAGTGGAAATAATATTCTACTCCCGGAGTATATCATAAAGCACTAAGAGGATTTCCAACGAAGGTGAATTAACTGACCAGGTCCAATTGACTATTTCATTGCAGATTTAACTAATCCCAGTCAAGGCTAATGGAACTAATCGGAGCTGTTTTTTAAGGCTTTGACGACTTCAATTGTCGGATAGATTAGCGTTTCCCGGCGTTGGACAATTGAACGAGCAATGTGTGACTTTTGCACTTTGCGAAAAATGTCAAAACGAGTGGCGGAGAGTAAATGGAAGGAACTTAGGGATATCAAACTGTCATTTTGTTTTTCATTGAAATCCTCTCCTCTATTTCTAATTGAACATCAGAGCTTCTATTGAAGCCCATTCGACCTTATATTTCCGGACAATTTGCAATGATTTTCTCATTTGAACATTGACGATCTAAATTTAGGAAACATTCGAAAAAATTGGGAACAAATTCAGTAGCGCAGCGATAAAACGGTTCACGTCGACTGAGCTCTCAGCTGAGTTTTTAAAGAATATCTTCGAATCTAAAGGAGATAGCGAAATTGTCGAAATTATCTTTTTCGTAGTTCTCAATTCACTCTCCAAAAAAGGTTATAACAAAAATTTTGCTATCAACCTTAGATTTCAAGATATTTACTGAAAACTGACCAGTTGTCAAAATCGATTTAAACTGTTTTATCGCTTCGGTACTGAATTACAAAGTCTATTCTCGAAAGCGAATTTGCAAAATAGTTGAGCAATTGCAATTGCAATTTTTGATAAACAATCATTTCCCCATCTTAAAAATCATTTTACAAAACCATAAGAAATTTTTCCATGCTCAAAAATTTCAATTATTTATTTATAGTAAGGAAATGGTGTGAAGAAACCCTTAAAAAAAATATCCATGAATTTTTCCAACTTTTTTTACGCTCTTTAACTGATAAATTTGATAACTGAAAATCGTCGAATCTATAGGGAGGTCCAGGTACACATTTTTAACAAAATCTCATCTTTGGATCTAAGAAATAAAATGATTAGTTGCAGGCGATTTTTCGTTGAGCAAAATGACAGCGATAAAAACTGTGACTATTAAAAAAAAATCACGATCTCCTTTGGATTTCTAGTTAGTCAGAAGAAACTGCATCTCGAGTGGGCTTATCTCGTTTTATCCGTGACTAATGAATTGATCATTTTCATTTTTTTGCGCTTTCGACATTCAAAACAATACCGAATACTTATCGATCAATATAACAATGGTATCAAGAATTTAAATAGGAAAATGAAGGATGTCATTTTTCTAAGTTGAGAGCGCAGAATCAATCTCCAGATATTGAATCGGAGATTAATACTGCACCTGATTACTAGTCGTCACCTTGGCAGAACTGAAATTACATCAATAGCGAGTACTCATCGGTGAAATGTTGAGAGATGTTCCTGTTTGGAAATTTGATCTACCATCAAAGTCTCTTGATATTTTTTTCGAAAAATCCATAATCTCTCAAGTTTTTTATTATTTATGTATCAACCTACAGTGGGTTATTTCAATCTCTCAAGTTATTGTAAAATTAGTCAAAATGTTACATTCAAAATACATAAGAAGATTTTGAAAGGCTTTTACGACTCCATGTGTAATAAAAATGATCATATTCTGGTCTAAAAAAATCGAATATCCTAATTACTCAATTTTTTTTTCTACTCGTGATGTTAATTTTAAAAAAATCCTCGGAACTGAAAATACGAAAATGAATGTAAAGAAATGCATTGACAAAAGAATTTAATCTCGCAGAAAGCTGAATTCATAAAAAATTGAAAATGTCAATCAATTATCGAGTGGCTAAGTTATTCACTAACAGAAGAGGACTTGTAAGCTAGACCGCTTGACCTGAATAATCAAACGGTTACTTGTAAAGTGCCTGGATGGGCAGATTAAATGGAAACCAATTACCCTTCTGCAACCCGTTCCCAGCGAGTATTAGAGGGAAAAAAAGGGAGAGAACCCTCATAAATTCGGAGTCTCATTTCAATTGTCATAACAACAAAAATCGAGGCTAACGCCAAACCATCGTCAATAAATTCCAAACATAATTCTCAAGCATTCACTTCTTGGAATTTTTTATCAATTGACAGTTCCACTGAAATTTCAAGGAATTTCGTCGGTGAAAATTCCCAATTTCATGAACAAATTGACGGGAACTGTAAATTTCAGTTGAGTTTTCCCATGAAAATTAACTGACATCATGAAATTTCAAATGAACATATTCTTGTATTTTCAATTAATGGAAAATTCAGTGTAGGGATGAGTGGGACAAAATGGACACATTTCCCTTTTTTTTGAAATGTTAATGACTCATTAAATTCAGTTGCGAAACGGTAAAACTGTTCAAGTCGACTCAGCACTTAGCGGAGTTTTCGAGGAATATCTCCGAATCTAAGGGAGATAACGGAATGTTCGTAATAACATTTTTTGTAGTACTCATTGAGAGCTACAAGAAAGTTCATGACAAAAATTTTGCCATCTCCCCTAGATTTCGAGATAGTCATTGAAAATTGGCCAATCGTCAAAATCGACTTGAACAGTTTGTGGATGAAAGAGGATGATTGTTCTCTCCATGAAAAGTAAAATTACCCTCTGTGTTGAGCCTGGACTGAGCCCAATTGATAAATTTGTTCCGGACGTATGAATATTGAAAAAAAAGTCGAACGTGTCCATTTTGTCCCACATTTCGGTTATTCAATACTGAATATTCACGTTTTGATTGTAAATTCAAGTGAGTTCGGAAATTATCACCTTCCTGCTGCTCAAAATTTAGGAATTCCATTGAATTTTCGGAAAAATTTGAGATTCCGATTGTTTCCGCTTACACGAATTCAATGTCGCTCTTCTGACAATTACTACAATATCACTGTTAAAAATTTACGTCCGAATTTTCTGTGCCAAATTCCGAAAATTTTTATCGTGTTCAAGTTCCACTGAAATTTCAGTAAATCTTGTCTTTAAAAATTTTCTGTTCAAATGATCTGGAAATCAATAAAATACTTGATTTTTCAGTTCAATTATTCTGTTAAAATTCAGAAAAATCTGGAACATCAGGGAAAATTTGAAAATTCATGTCATTTTGTTTCTGAATATTCACATTCCACTGCAAATTCAATCAAGTTGTGAAATTTCACTCACTAAAAAACTATCTCACTCTCACTAAAAACTCATGAATTTCCGTGAATTCTACTTAAAACTTGAAATTTCAAACCATTGTTCCCCTGAATTCGATTCAATGTAACTCTCATGAGATTTACTATAATATCTTCCACGAAATTTCAAAAATTCTAACAGTGTACTGTCCATGAAATTCCACTTTTTTTCTGATAGTAGACACGACAAAAAATTTTTAAAACATGAATAGGCATTGAAAAAAATTAAAAGTCTCTGAATGAAGCGTCAATTCAAGACTAAATATTCATGTTTTAATTGGAAATTCAAATGTGAGTTAGAAATTCCACTGAATTTTCGATAAAATTTGAGATTTCCAGATTTTTCCCCGTAAATCAAATGCAATGTCACTCTCCCAAAAATTACTAGGGTAAACAGGCCAATAGCTGGACGGTTAAGGAAATGTTGAACTTCATTAAAGGATTTAAAATCGATGAAGTAGCTAAATGAATAAAAAATTAGTTCTAAACCTGAAAGAATAGCCAATACATGGACGGTCTGGAGGAATATAGAATTGTCATCCAGTTTACATAGACATGTGAATTTTTTTTTATTGAATCTGAAGAAATACAAGGCCAAATATATTCTTAATTTTCGGGATGTGATTCTTCTCCTGCAAATATTGTGGTATTTCCCACATCTCACTCTTTCAGAAGAGAACTTTTTTTTTATCCACACTTTGTCACTAATGCTTAGCAAATTGCAGCGCCTCGCCACCCAGCACTGTACCTTCCGAATATTTTATTCTTTTTCTTGCTGTAATGTTGACATTTCGAAAAAGAAACTTCATGACATGATTATAAATAAGTGTTATTATTGATAATGAAAATAATTCGCACAGTTTTCATTCTATTATTTATAAAATATTCAATAAAAGATGAAATTGTCCGGCTATTGGCTTATTTACCCTACTAATCTGTCCCTGCAATATCTTAAAAATTAGGGAAGGGTGGGGCAAAATGAAACAGCCGTAAAACGACTACTTGACGCAATTCAAATAAAAAAATCTTTTTCTCAACTTCTGTTTTTTAACTTTTTTTATTATTGGGAGTACTGATGACAATAATAATGTTTTATTCGTCTTGTAATTCAATTGATTAAATTAGGCAGATTACAAATTTTTTTCATTCGATTGAAATTCAGTATCACATTTTCCCTTTTCCCAATCTGGGTCTCCCCCTGGGCCTTCCTCTGGACTTTGAATTTGGTTTTTTCATTTTCTTTTCAATTAGTACATTGACAAAATCTTCTCCGTCAAAACATCGCAATAATTTTCTATTCTACTGAATGGAAAATTATTATTCTAATCAGCACTCCCAAAAATACAAAAAAGTTAATAAACAAAAATTAATAAAAACAAGCTGAAGTTTGGCATGGAGTTGGTCTCAAGTTATACTAATTAACTGAAAAAATTTCAAACTTTTTGGAATGATTTTTCCCGTTTAATTATCAAATCTACGAAAAAATGACCACCGACTGGGCAGTGTCACGCACAGATATGGTCCCCAAATTTCGTATTTTTACGTTCAGACCATTCTGCATCATTTCCAAGCAAAATTAGAAAATGTGAAAATTGAACAATTGCAATGCTTCCATTCGGAAGCAAAAAGTTGATAAAAAAAATTTTTGTTTGCTCCAATTGCGTCAACCAGTCGTACTTTCGACTGTACCATTTTGCCCCATGGTTCATTTTGCCCCACTCTCCCTTAATTAAATGACTTTACCTGCACTTGAAACATGGTGATGGTATCATCCAGCATTTGCACCCTGACAGCAAGCATTTTTCCAGCCTTTCTCGGTGTAGTGGGTGGCGTACGACTGCCACCATCTACACCAGCGGGTGTGGAGTGACTGTGCGGCATCTTGGAGCTGATCATCCCTAAATTGTCGATATCATTCATAGTCCCATCCAAGTAATTTGCGTGATACCACCCCGCTCCACCTCCTTTATCCTTCCAATTCCCTTATTCTCAACCAGAGTTCATCGATCCCCACCTTCGTCGTTAGGTTGTCATCCTACGCACAGAGAGAGAAAAAAATTTCCCTGCATCCATTAAAAAAAACGGAAAACATACTCCTAAAGCCATGGAAAAAAATTGCTTTCACGAAGACCCTTTGACAACAAGAGCAGCCTCATCCCAGGCATAAAAATGTGTACAACTAGAGTGTTCGTTGGTGATAATCACGCACTCTCTGATGTAACCGATGTCACAAAGACGATAAAAGGACCCTCGCCACTCGGAAAATGACGAGACAAAGCCGGTGGAAATGACGAATAAGAGACAATAAACTAGACCAACAAATGAACCAAACAAAACACGAGTAATAAACGTCGATACACCATCACTCACATCGATGCATCGTTCCTCATTACGACACACTTGAGGTCTTGAATGCACCAGGAACTCTCTCGAGAAAAAAAAATCTCCTCAAGGTCCCACTCAATATTTCCTTGAAGGTGTCAATCATACAAACTCATTATCTCTCGACTTGTCACACACAACGGACTTTGAAACAACCATAAATGCATTTTGAAGGGATGCGGGCCGAGTGTCGAGTGCCAACACTGGCAAGCACGCCCCAAAACACGAAGACGGGCCCCTAGAGTTCATTGATCACTCGGCTACGTTACCCGGCATTGCCAAACCGCACCGCCTCTCCTCTTTTTTCTGCGTTATTTCCGCTCCAACACTTGTATCATCAACACATAACTCGAATTAAACATAAACAATACTCACTTACTTATTTATTTATATCGGTCAGCCACGGGTGGGGCTTATTGTGTCTTGTCTAACACGATGTTTTTTTTTCGGTCGGCTTTCCTCGTAACAAAATGCCCACGTTCGGGCGAGGAAAACCCGTGGATGCCGAACCAAACTAAACACCTATGGAGCACTGACGGCTCTCCCCTCTTTCTCCACTCGCTTCGCTGGAGTGAAACACGGCCGCTGGGGAGGGATGTGTTGGGTTAGTGCGATGGTGGGAGGGATTCAGTGGTTCTCAAGCTCGATGTGATATCCAACAGCTCGAGTCACTGTCTCTGTTGCTCTCAGATTCTCTCTATTTTTTTTACAGTTAGAGTACATTTCACCGAGGCAAACACCGGTATTCATGTTTATGTCAGCCATTACCGTGACCTCAAATGAGCATCAATTGTTTCATTAGATAAATGAGTCAATAATCCATTAGGGATAATTGGAAAATTGAAGATTTTTTTCTGCATTTCAGCATATTTGAGCGGGTTTCGGATGTTTCGGCGAGGGATTGTAATGATTCATTGGATCGAAGAATGGATGGAATTATTCGTATTGTTTGTTCTTCGGGGTTCTTATTTTTTAATAATTCATGATGTATTGCGATGAAAAGTGAGCGGTCTGCGAGTGTACGTCGGCGCAGCCGCAATCACAGTGCATTATGAACGATGCACTCCTTTGGTATTAACATCGAAGGCCACAGAGGGATATCCAAGACTGGAATGGCCAGAGGTCTTTCGGTGGTAGGCCCCAACCGTCCAATCAGGTACTATGGGATTTAGGTATGCACCGAGGACTTTGGCAATGCCCAGCACTCGGTTGCAGGAGGGAATAGGGACTGCAGTGAACTTGAATCACTGGAGAAACTCGATATCGCACTGGTAATCGCTACAGGGAAGTTGTGGAAATGCTGGGTTTTTTTTTCGCAGCGAGAGAGGATTGAGTGGCGGAAAGGGCCACGCCCTTTTTCCCCTTTTATCGGAGGAACGTTTATGTGTGGGTTATTACGGGTAATGCATGTATGTGTTTGCGGAATTATGATTTTAGACCTTTTCTGGAGACGATAGATATGCAGGATTGCGAGCCGGTTATCGTTACCAGTGTACTAACGCTGAATAATTTAACGCCATGGGTTTGATCAAAGTGATGATTCATCGCTTGGAGGAAATCCGAGGCGAGGGAAATTATTCGATGTGCGAGGCGCATCAAGAATTCATTAATGTGAATTTTAATTCGTGGTTCTGGCGTGGTTATCCGACCGTGAAATGGCAATGCGACATGAGTTAATTTTACCTTGTGACCAGGTTTTCGGAAATCTTGGGATTTGAAGGAGACGGCGAACTTCTCGTAGTTGTATTTGTAGCTCACAGGCTTGCGAAGTTGAGAATATCCATTATAACTATAGATTCAACCATTTTTATTCATTAAATTTGGCAATTCAATTGCGTGAGAAAAATTTGAAAAAAATTATGAACATTCAGCGTCATTTAAATTACATTTTGCACGGAATTGTTATTTTTTAAACATTCATTGTTTATTAGTAAATAATTGAAGCTGTTTAGTTATTTTAGTTGAACTTTCGGAAATCTCATTTTTTTTAGGGAAGAAATCGCTTTCTGGAAAAATTCTGAATATGAATAACGATTTGTTACGATTTCGAATAAATGGTTTTTATGGTGGAAAATTGATTGTTTATAAATTATTTATTGAAAATGCTTGTAATTTTTCAAAATTGCAGTTTTTAAATGATGGCATCAATCTTCAATAGAATGAATATTCCAATCGCCAGTATGAACATTTAAATTTCTCCTATTTCTCAAAAAAAAAATTGAAATTATTAAATGATTAATTATTAAATAATTAATTATTATTTAATAATTTAATGTGAATTATTATTTAAATTATATTTTTGAAGTTCATATTTGTATTTACAAAAAGGAAAACTTGATAACGAAATTACGGATCGAGACGAATCACATTCAGGGAGAGGCTTTGATGTGAGATTTCAAAAAGAAATCATGAAAAGAGTAAACGTGAAAAGAGATGAGAGAAACATCAACTACAATTGCATTCGCGTCATATAAATTCGATTTTTTGTCACGTATCCACCGCCATTCCAGTGTATCTTTTGATCCAACTTTTCCCCTGGTGGAAAAAAAGCTCAGTATTTAGTATTTTTCCCCAGTTGACACACGAATGAGTCATTTCGAATTTTTTTTGTATTCTGAATAGTTCTAGACGAAAATGCCAGCAAAATGGTTTAAATAGGAATGGACATGACGGCATTTCTATGAAAATCATTCTTGTCGCTCACATTCTTGTCTTATCAACTGAAATTCTTCTATCTCCCTAAAGTTCGAAGTTATTTACCAAAAACTCACTTTGAAGATAAGTTTTCAGCCCGAAAATTGATATCTATATAACAGAGTTGAGTAATCGCCAAAATTATACTTTCAGTGACAATGTCTCCGCTTGTTTTTTTCATGTAGGGAAAAGCGAATGGGCCGGGCTCGGGCCAAGCACAGCCGCCGGGCTGCCGAAGTTCGGGGCCCATTCCCAGCCGGAACCGCGCCGGACTTGACTGTTGGAAATTTTTAGAAATTTCATGGAAACTATGGTAGTAATTCTCATGAGAGTGAATCCGATTTAGGAGAAAAATGGTTCGGAAATTTCAAGTTTTAAGTAAAATTCGACAAAATTCATGAGTTTTCAGTGGAAGTGGAACGGAAAGTTCGCGACTTGATGGAATTTTCAATGGAACAAATATTCAGAAACAAAATAACATGAATTTTCACATTTTCGTTGAATTTACCAGATTTTTCAAAATTTTCACGGAATAATTGAACTGAAAAATTGAGTTTTTCTTTGATTTTCAGATCATTCGAACAGAAAATCTATGGAATATTTGATTTTTCAATGACAAGATATTATTTTAATCGTTATTTTTCATCGCTTCGACTCGGTTAGGGTATGCTGCGATGATGATTAAGTCTTTAAATGGTTGGATCTCACCATTCTATCCGGCCGGGTTTTGACCTCGGAACCTTTCGCACGTGAGGCAACGAACTTACCCACTGCGCCAAGCTACCGGGCTGCTATGACAAGATATCCTGAAATTTTTTTTAGTGAAAATTAAACATGACAAAAATTTCTAACAGTAATAGTGAAACCTGAGATGATAACATGGGGCCAGGTCTGGGCGTGGATCTCGGCCCAGCGTTGTTTACCAGTCGTTGTCCAGGCTCAATTAATCATTGCTTAATGACATGAATATGATATGAGTGATTGGCATACAAGTAATTCAATGTTATTCCTGAGCGTTCATCACAGGAGGAAAATAAATAAATAACTATTCAAGACAATTATCAATAATAACAAAAACAAAATAATATAACACTTTCAAGGACAATTTTTTGCATTAATTGTGCGCTACCTACCAAATCCTAATGCAATCATCGCTGAAAGGCCGATTTTGTTGATTTAAAATCTTACCCTGACTTGCGCTCGATCCTACGACCTCCCAATTACTAATTCTACGCCCTAACGACTAGCGCACACCGCACACTCAGTAAAATCTCTATTTCAAATGGTTCATATTAGTTCCGCCTCAGTTTTTTTTCCACTTGATCGTTTCAATACCCAGTTCATAGCAATATTAAATCATTCAACTACAGTTTAATCGGTAAATTAATTGCATAATGAATAATCATAATGATAAAATGATTGCAAAATTTGTAACAATGATCATTAATTTTTAACACTTCGTTGGTCGCACAAAAGTTACGAACGCCGTTAGTCGCGCTGTAAGCGCCGCACCAGCACAAATCGACATAATGATAAATTTGACAGATGTAGGAAAAATCTGAAAAAAATCAAGAGTGATCTAGATCGGATACTTGAAGAAGTCCCGTGAGATTTTTTATGTTCAGTGTCACCCTTACTTTTATAATCAAGCTCAAAGATGTCATGTTTTTCTGAAAATTCGCCTTATACATTTGTACAAAAATTTGAAAATCCAACTACTTATGATATTTTTGGCGGATATTTTCATTGATAAGGCTTCTAGACGCTTCAAAATGAGATGTCAATTTTTTTCAAATTTTTCTGAGGCTTTACGGCAGTATCATTTAAAAAATCGAAAATAGTGCGGCGCGGCGCTCATAGCGCGACAATGTTAAAGACGATTGATCTTTTCGTCGTGATAAATAGCGAATAAGACGTGGTATTAATGTCTACAATGTTACTTTAGCCATTTTATTTTTACGATTATTCCCTTAAAATTTTACCCTCAAGATTTCACTCTTACCATTCAACCCTCACGATGTTACCCATATATGGGTTATAACATTTTCTCGCCGCTTTCCATTATTACTATTTAACCCTTGCAATTCTTCAGATTGCCCCTTTATGATTTTACCCCTGTGATTCCATTTTCATTACCGTATCCTTACGACTTTGCTCTTACAATTACACCAACGGTTGGAGCCCAATGACCAAGCTCCGAGCCAGATCTGTCATCCAAGGCTCGGATACCCGCCCCTCCCCCGAGACTCAAGCCCTCTCTCCAGGAATGGCCGAACCTCGGACCAAGCTTGGCTGCCGAGACTTGGCAAGCCCAGGCTTGTGCCGCACTTGGCCCGTTTGTCCAACACTGGCATTTCCTACCTGAGTTAAACCATTGAAAACCATTAAAAACGAGATCTGGAACTTTTGAAGAGTTGCAGAATTCCAACAGCAATTGTATCTCCATTAACAAAATCTATAAATTATGTAGAAACGATAAACCCAGTTAACAAGAGTCAGCTCATTCATCTAGCTGAACTCGTCTCATTAATCGTCTCGTCAATTCTCTCTTTTTCATCGTAAAATTGATTCAAGACTTTTGGCCCAGTTTATCTCTCTGCTTTGAAGGAAAACTCATATAACAAGTTTGACTGTACTACATATTCTAACTCGATCAATAATTAACTATGACTTTTTATCGAATTTTATCAATCCGAAGAGGAAGAACAAACAGCAAAGAGAGTAAAGCGATTGCACTTGCTTCACTCATTTTCATTTTTACCTCGAGCTAAAATATGAGTCTATTTACTATTCCGTTTCCTGGCATATGCCGGAGACCTACTGCAATATAAATGTTGAAGTCAAATAAGTTTTTTCAACTGAGAATGCATTACGTAAAGTGTAGCAAGCGGTCTAATTGAATTTTTCATTTCATTTAATCATCTAATTGACAAAGTAGTGCAAGTCCACGTTTGATCCAGTGGCTCACGGGTGTTTTGGTGTCAAGCATAATCATTAAGACGTAATTAGTTGAGTGGCCAGTTGTTTTGAGGGTACCAAACCTCGCGGATGTTATGTACAATGGACACTCGTATCGTGTTCCTATCTCAATTAAAGTTGCTTCTGTGGGCTTGAACCAGACAATGGGCAGTGAATCCCAGAGGACTTTTGGGTAACTCTCGGTTAGATGCATTTTACCAATGTCCCATCTCCCGCCTGACAGGTACATTCCGTAGACGTAGACACCGTCCTCGGGTGATTCATCTAATTGATAGGCTCGTATTACCTGTTGTTGTTGCGAGAATTGAGATGTTAGACATTATGCAATTGAGGCTTTTGTTGAATTGTGAATTGAGGTTTTTATTGGAGATATACGGAAAAATAACGTTCTGTTTTTTAGGACTATATTTCTAATTTTCAGGGATTTTATAGTTTCGAACGGTATCTCGATGTTTTTTTTTCATCTTTCGTCATTTGAAATTGTCAATTAAGTCCTGCATCATGCAGAAGTTTTGAAAAATTATGAATGAAAATTTTTTAAAAAAGTAGAAAAAATTCTTAATTTTTTCAAAGAGCATTTTTAATTTATATTCAGAATAAGTTGAATAACAAGAAATTGAAAAATATATCTGATTTACGGTGACAAATGGCGGCCTGTCACCCAATATCATGCATGGGGAAGACTGATTTCGTAAATCTTTTCCCACACTGCACAGAGACGTTTATTACGGAAAAGGCTCTTTGAAAAAAGTTGTAATATTTTGGAGAATTTTTTAATCACACTTTTATCACATAAAAATGGCAGATGACTACATACCACTGTTTTGAAAATTGAGATACCTACCTGTCACTTCCCATGAGGAGTTAGTGTTTTGTTATACACCATGGAAAATCACAGTTAATAGATAATTTGCCACAGCGAATCAGATATTTGTTATTTCCACTTTTTTCAACTCATCCTGAATCTCAATTAAAAACGCTCTTTGAAAAAATTCAGAATTTTTTCCATTTTTTTTCATCAATCTATCATAATTTTTAGGAATTTCTACATGATGTACCACTCAATTGACAATTTTGGATTACGAAAGATAAAAAAAAATCCAGATAGCATTCGAAAGATAGTACACCCGGGCCTTAAAAAGAGACATGTATTCACGCGTTAGGTCCATACCATATGTGGTATGGATGTCAGGGTTGAGGGGTTAATTAAACTCTCCTAGATTTTATTTTTAAGTGATTAATAATCAAAGATCGTCATATAGCGTTGTGCTTATCACAATCGTCCTAAGAGCCTATGCATGAGAGATAACTTCGATTATTATTATCATTGTTATTGATTTTTCATTTTTTGAGTAAAATATAAAATTCAAACGAAATAATTTCTCAAAATGAGGGAAAATGCTGTTAAATTTCAATGAACATATATTTGGAATAGAATACAAATTTTTAATCTTCATGAAAATTAATGACAAAATCACTGAATTCGAGGATTTTATCACTTGTAAAACTTTTCACTTGTGCGTAAAGTAAAATTTTGCGCACGCGAAGAGTTCTACACACTGTGATGAAACATAGGGTTGGATACTCGTGGAAAAAGTGCGGAAAATCGTTTTACGCACTCGTATCCATATATACTATTTTGTAATACCTGCCTGAAAAGTACACTTTTCGAAACGGTTGAGTGTCCGTAAAGCGGTTGTTTACCGTACGGTGTGCGTAAATTTCACTTGACACACTCGTGTACAAAAACCACTATTATGCCACTCATGCCTGAAACCGGCTGGATTACTCACTCGACGCTTCGCGTCTCGTGTCTAATTCAGCCGGTTTCAGGCTTCGTGACATAAAATTTTGTTCAGTACTTGTTGGGAAATTTCGTCCTTAACGTGTGTGGTTATATCACTCGCCTTCGGCTCATGCTGTAAACCCCACACACGTTAAAGACGAAATTGCCCCACACGTGCTGAAATATACTATTTTGTCTCCACTACGGTTCCGAACAGTGACCACAGCAGATATTACAAAAAATAGGATGTGTTACACGTACGTGCGGAAAAGTAGAACTTTTTTTCACGTACGTGTAACACATCTTATTTTTTGAATAAAATATAAAATTCAACCAACATAATAACATAATCTACTATTAAGGCTATCCAAGTACTTTTTACAGTTTCGTACAGACCACACTATCGATTCCACCATTTTCAATCATCAAATTTGTCAATTAAATTGCGTGAGAACATTTTGAAAAAGATTTATGAATATTCAGTATCATTCAAATTATATTTTGCACAGAATTATGATTTTTTAACACCTTCGTTGTTTATAAATAAATGTTTGAAATTGTTTAAACTTTCAGAAACCATATTTGTTTCGGCATAAAATCGATTTCTGGAAAAATTCTGAATATGAATAAATTAGTTTCGATTCCGACCAAATGATTTTTATGGTGGAAAATTGATTGTTTATAAATTATTTACAGAAAATGCTAATGATTTTCAAAAATTGTAATTTTTAGATTGTTTCATCAATCTTCCTCCAAAAATGAACTTTCCATTTTTTTTCCATTAGATTTTCAAAATGGTTTCTAACGGTTCAATATCGAGATTCGAATTCAGACGTGCAAAGTTTAAATAATAAAATCATTATAAAATGTTCGAAAACTTAGGGTCAAATGAGACTCAAATGAAAGCCCCAATTTTTTTTTTGAATTTTATTGCAATTTTATTAGCCCCATTTTTTTGGACTAAAAAGTCGAAAATTATTTCAGGGGAGAAAAAATAGTCAAAGTACTTGAACATCCTTAATATACACCTAAATAACTAAAACTTTTTCTTTCTCTGTGTATGTTTTCACAATTTCGTTTAGGTACTGACCTCGAAGTCAAAGTCAAGTTTGTCAATGGAAATCTTGTATTTCCTCGCGTAATTCTGCATTGCGCCGGTGAGAAAGGCATGCACGAATGAAAAGCCGGAAATCCAGAAGGTCGACGGCTTTCCGTTTGTCAACCAGTGTTGGAAAAAATCGAGGCGCTTCAGGAAGTCGGTGATGAAGCTTGACAGGGGCTTCAGGGTGGGATAGGCGCTGGCTTTGATCCACGTGGGTGGGATTTTCCCATTCATCATGTTTTGAGAGAGGATCTGAGTAAATAAGACCGAGATTCGTCAATTGAGGGGGACCTAATGCGGGGAATTTCATGTCGACTGTATTTGGAGGATAACGCTGAGGATTGCATGGAAGCGGAGTGCTGATGGCTTACAATTCATCAATTTTATTCAGAAAACGTTCTTTGATAACTGTGCATGAGTCAAATTTGCATACGATTTTTAATGGAATATCCCATAGATTGAACTATTCTTACGATTTCACTACTGATTTGTTGATCATCTCGAATTATATCGGTAATGAGCGATTGTAAATGAAATCGGTAAGCGACCCTTTTTTTATCGGGAATTTCCTTTGCTAAAAAAACGTTCTCCTGAAATTTTCGATTCCATTTCATCGAGATAATGGGACGTTTATTAAGGGGAGACTACACGAAGAGAAATATTCAGTAGTAATACCCGGAGAGCTTCAAAATGATGGGGTATTTCCCGACAGCTTCGTTGCAAACAAACGAGAGTGTCAAGTTTTGTAGGTTTAAAAATCCCGAGCGCGAAGCGCGAGGGATTTTCCTACAAAACTCGACACGATCGTTTGTTTGCAGAGAAGGTTGAGGGAAATACCCGATGCATTTTGAAGCTCGAGGGGTATTTGGAGGAGTATTTCCTCCATCGGAATTTCGGTCACTGGAGGGCAGCATTTGATGTCAATGTGGTACAGCCTACACTTTCGCATTTCAATTATTTTGTTTATTCTCCCTTAGCAACGTGCCGTGGTTTTACCAAATTTTACCGATATAAAACCGTGTAGGTTGTACCACGTGACATCAAATGCGGCCCTCCATTGGCCGAAATTCCGATGAGGGAAATATTCAGTAAAAATTACGGAACAATTCACGTAATCCTCAATGGGAAATCGTTTTTTTCGGCAATTTTTATAGGAATGGAAGAGAAGAAATCTGAACGGTTTAGTGATTTTTCAGGTTCATCACCGAACAAAGTACGAAATTGTCACGTAATTTTTCCCAAAGAAGTAAAATCTTACAGAAATTTCGCGACTTATTGTGCCCCCAAAATAAAAAATTCTTGAATGTTCAACAATTTTTATGAAGCTGGTGCGTTATTTCTATGTTCCGTTCCGTAAAATTTCTCAATCGTTGAGGAAAAATTATGGAACGACTTGTTGTTCCCACAGCAGTGAGTCATCAGATGGGTGGTGAATTTTTACGGAACAAATTGTAGAATTTACGTAGCGATTCGTACAATTTCAGTTCCGACTCATACTTTTTAGCGAATTTTACTTTGCTCACGGATTACGTTTTGAAACGTAATTTCTTCACTGATAGACTGATTCATTTATTCCAAACGAGATTCGTTAACTATTAACGAATGGTAAAGTTGAATATGACCAAATGAATATTCGTTAATAGTTCATGAATGGTTCATTTGACAGGTGAAAATCGAGCAAACAAGCCTTCTCAAATGTGCATTTATTAACTATGAACGAATGAACATTTCGTGAGATCGAATAGACCCTCGTCGCCAACCAAATCTATTTGTTAACAATAACTAATCCTTTCTATCAGTGTACGTTTTTTCTGGTAATTTTTATTGAATTTTTCTCCGTGTACTATGAGTTTTAAAAGTCGTGGGCTATTGGAGTGACATTAATCATGCATTGAAGATTGATTATATGTCTGAAAACAAATAATTAGTGCAAAAGAATTAATTGTTTATGAAGATTTGATATTAATCTCGACTATTCTACCTCTAATTCTGGTGTCATCACGATCATTCCCTGAACCGCCTTCTCCAGCATCTGGAGTGACCCTCGCATCATCCTTAAGAGCGTATTATACCGTTCCATCTCCTGGATTAAAACCGTATTCATGGATTCCATGTAGGATACCGGGTATTTTTTTTGCGCTTCCTCAATATCAAACAGCTCCGGCAGACGATTGTAAATGTCCCTCTTCATTGTTAGTAATAATTCATCCTGTTTCGACGTATCTCCCACCGTCACGGTTCCCTGAATTTTTAACATCGATTCAAAGAATGTTTTGGACACCTCCAAATCCCTCGTAATTCCCGCATTCATGTGGAGACCGAATACTTCTGGGGGTGGATTCATAGGGATTCCCTCGATTTGTCTTATGTAATCACGATAACCAATCCTGACCCAGAAAAAAAATGAAAATCAACCCGGTAAATAATGTTTGCTGATACCATCTGACATCTTCAACAATAAGGCAATTCTTTCGTAATTGATAACGTATAGAAAATTTCCATACAGGCCAATTTCTGGGCAGGGGTCAGTATCTGGACGATCTCAACTTGCATTAAATATTCCGTAAATAAAATGAAAATTGTACTGAATATATTTCATTTTCCAATAATATTACTCGTGTATAATCATGTGATCAATTATTTTTTCTATTGATCGGAATTTAATAAATAAAAAATAATATGGCCCAGAAAGATCGTCCAGAAATTAGGGGTTTCATTCACATTTAATTATTTCTTAATTGAATTATTCTTTGTTTTGTTATTTTCACTTCATAGTATATTTCAGGACGAGTGCCGTGGGGTTTTTACTCGCATGAAGTTGGCGTCCGAGCCGGAGGCGAGAACTGGCCAATAACGCGAGTAAAAAAACCCCATGGCACTAGCCATGAACGATATTTTTCACTTTTACGAGTTTGGGGAAGGGCTAATACCAATCTCCGGACGAGGAAAAGTGGAGAGCAGTACGGAAAAATAATTTTTTTCTGCTAATTAAAACATTCTTGAAGGTATGAAAACCTTAAGGCTATGAATTCATATCCCCATTTAGGTGATTCTTTTATTTTAAATCCTAACACGAAACTCGAACTTCCCTTAACCGTTCAGCAATTGGCCTGTTCACCCTAGTAGGATTTTTACATTTGAAAACTTACGAGAAATGTGGAATAACTTTCCACATTTTTTATTATTAAACTATGTATTATTTTTATTCATCAACTTTTAATTATGGATATTGTCGACTTTTTTTTCAATGCTCATAACTGAAAAAAAAATTTAATACACAATATTCTATTAAAACACAAAATCAATAGATTGTAAAATTTCTATACAACTTATTCTGTGAAGATATCTTCTATAGAACCGCTTCGGCTTATAATGTTCTCGTTCTTTGCTTCAATGTTTCATTGAGAATCGAAAAAAATACAGTAAAAAAAATTACCAAATTGATGCCGGCGAATTTCAATAGAAAATCGAATAATATTTATTGAAATTCCAAAGTCTATAATTCTTTTCTATAAAATATTTTCTATTGACATTTCTATTGCATAAATGAATCAATAGGATCGTCGAAAAACGAATACGATTTCCTAGCGAGTGCGCTAGGTTTTTCTGTGATTTTTTTTACTTGTGACGACAGTGTGGGCTGTAATAACACAAGTTGGAAATTACGCTTTTCATGGACGTCGTACAACATTTTACGATCGTGCCTTTTTTCACGCTTGTATCATAAAAGGTCTTACGACACTTTTTGAAAAGTGTTCGTTTGCGGTTTTGTATCCTGCAAGATCTTAACACATTTGTACATAAAATGACTCGCCCTCAAAATAATTACCTCCGGAGTTGAATAATTTTATAACAAGTCTCCCCTCCCCTCCCCCCTCCCCCTTTTTTCTTTTCAATCCCTCATTTTCAGAGAGATAAGCACAATTAACGGAATTTTCATTTCCCAAATGGAAATTCCATTAATGAAATTCGTTATCCCAATAAAACAAGTGGGAAATTGCTCTTGTATTGCATATAATGCAGTTATTTTTGCTAGTAAATTAGCAATATGCTTCCGAATGGTTACTTTGTACATCATTTGCTTCTATCATGTGTAATTCATTGTTAGTAGAAAACTTATTTACATCTACTTGAATGAAATTGAAACATCACATTTGACGAAACCATCAGAAAGTTCATTTTCAGGGAAATTTATGAAAAATACTAAATTTTTGGAAAGTTTCAAATAAATCAAAAAAACGATTAACGCTATCGCCTTCACTTTCGAACTCCGCCGAAAGGATATCCAAACAATTTTTTAAAGCCATCATTCAATCAATTCAGAACTTTTTTTTAGTTATCGTGGGAAAAAAAAATAATCGACGGATTAAATTTTAATTGATGGTACTTGATAGGACTCAATAAGACAGTTCGATCGTTGTACAAGATACCAGGGGACTGTAGGGGAATAAAATTCCGAGAATTACGGATCCCCCACTTTCCTGACGCTCAGAAGGGAAAATATTTTGATTTGATATTCTTCGTACAAGATACTAGACGATTTCCTATTCTCATGAATTCTTGATATGAAATACGAATGTTTGATTGGAAGATATTGTTCCTTTTCAAAATAACCATTTAGAAATTCGGAATAAGTTAGTTGAGTAATAGGGGCCTAAGAGGCAAAATTGAGACTTTCATTTTGATTTTCATGAAAATTGGTTTGAATTTTGTTTTGTTTTGTCCATCCAAAAAATGAATGTAAACACATGGTGCAATACATGTAAAAAATAGATATTTTACCAAGTTTTATGACCGATGCGTTTCATTTCTTTTATGAACTATAACGAGTGCCCATTCGTTTTGAAATTCCATTGATGTGCAATTAAGTTCTAGATCATAGATGCATATATCTCCAATAATTTTTGGAATATCTCAACTCCATTGTCACTCAATTCTAGCCCCGTTGTCGAGTATCTTGTACAGAGATCAGGAAACGAAAAACATTCAAGCTAAAAAGTGGGAGTATCACTCGGCACGAATTCAGGCCTACACTGAGAGAAAAACGATAAAGTTCTCAAACAAATCTTACTTGTGCCAAGAAAATAGTTTTTGAAAATTATCAAAAAGGATTTTTTTGTGCCAAACATGCAGAGCATGCGCCGGAATGAAAAATTTTGTGTCGCAAAAATAGATTTAGTAGTTAAAAAAAAATTGCATTCTCTGTAGATGCAAGAAATGTCATTTCTAGCACTACTCCCTCGTTATTCGATACTGCCATACGTATTTTACTCCCGAAAAATCTCTGTTTTATGCGAAACAAGGGATAGTAGTTCTTCGTTTCGATTGTCCAATAATCACAGACAAGAAATGAACCCTTAAATGAAACAATAATAATGATATGATAGCAATCTTGTAACTTAGGGATAAAATATTTGTGGATCAATTTTCCTCTATATGAGATATTTTCATCCGGTAAAGGCACCGTCTGGTATGAATTATCTTCCTCTTGAGCCAAATATTTCGTTGCTGTCAAAGCAGAAAAATTTTTCATGTTTGCGACTTTCGAAATCGAACCAAACAAATTCGTTTTTGACAATTCTGAACTAGCGATTTAGTTGGCCCAAACAAGACTTGTTTGACAACGTTTTTGTTTTTCTCTCAGTGTAGTATCTTACATGGAGACTTGACTGTACGTACATTTGAAAAGGAAAAAAGATTCTATTCCTTCCATTCATTAGCGAACAATTGAAGAAAAACTTTGTTACATACGTGCCCACATACACACACACACGTACGGACGAGATGTAAAAATTGCATTTTCGGATTTTTTGAATCATACTGGGACGATATAACTAAAAAATTCAAAACTTGAATTTGAACGATTACAAAGCTTCCATTCGGTAGCAAAAATCAGTACGAAAACATGAAAACTACCTTCTGGGCAATGTATATTCACTCCCCATGCCAGAGAAGCTATAACTGACATCCTCAATGACCTCCATGTTATAAAAATCCAATAAAATCGTATTGAGACATCGTCTATCCCTATCATCTGTGACCCTTCCTCCATAATTGCACTCTCCGGTAAGATACTTGATGGCTTTGAAAGGAACCTGCTGAGACTCATTGATAAAAATTTGCAGCTGCTGAACAGAAATTTGAAAGTCAGATTCGTTAAATCCATATCTTATATTCCATCCTTGTGCCCCGTAATTTCTTCTCTCTTGAACTAGAGCATGAAAGAAACAGAGACCATAAAGTAGCCTTGTGAATATCTTCTCCTTCCCCGGGCAGCCTTCAAAGAATTCCGGATTTTTAACTGGTTCTGATGTATAAGATCTCATGAGATTCTGTTGTAAACCGGTTGGTGGTTCGTTGGTCATCTTGACGCCACTTTGCAGTACAGAGATGGGAAATTTATCGGAGGGATAGCTCGTTAACCAGAGACGAAAGTTGATAGAGGTGTTGGTTAGATCGAAATTTTCGCAGATTTTCTCGAGAACTGGCATCCAGGAGACAGCAAGATGACAGTTCTGAAGGCAAACCCAGGAGCCGGTGCTCTGTGCATGTTCAACCATTCTCTTGGCGATGGGCCCTTGTCCCTGACCCAGAGATATCGAGGTGAACCGCGAAGTGTAATCCATATCTTCAGCGAAATTCGACAGGGCGCCCATAGGATCGGAGCCGGGGGATAGGATAAATATTAGGGGAACTAGGCACATCGAGTCTGCATAGGATTTGGCCAGGTCAAAGCTTGGTGGAATGACGAATTTTCTGCCCAGTCCTTTCTCGACGAATTGAATCACTTTCAGGGTTATTTTGTCGGGCCTCAGCATCCTCAGGACGATTAATTTCTGAAAGTCTGGGAGAGTTATTTTGTCAGATAATTATAAAACTTTGTTGGGGAGAAACTTCTGGGGATGATCATTTATGGGAAAAACACTGCAATCTCATCTAAGTTTATTAGACTTTATAAATGAGGAGATTTTATGTTAATTCGAAGTTAATTGTCAGTTATTGGAAGATAGCTTGCAAGTGAAGCGAGATAGCGGAATTTTTGTTCACTGCACTTCTCTTCGTACATTTCGATTTCGTATACATAGAATGGATTCATGAATAATCCCATATTTGCCTTCGATTCAAAGGCATCTCCGGGAAAACTATCGCAATGTAGAATTGAAGAAAAACTTCCAAATTCATGGAAGAGACCCGTAATAGAGTTGAAGAGAAAAGGAAGAAGAACGAGAATTTTTTTTAGGACGCAGTAAAACAAAAAGGCGATCAGAGTAGCCTTCAAGATGAGGTTTCAATCAATATCTTCAATTTTAGAGGAAACGAATGTATTTTTTCGAGGATATCACCTGTGAAAGGAATTGATCAAATAAAATTGAAATTCTTTTGAAATTTGTCAATTTTTTTGCTGGCTTTTTTTGAAAAATTGCATACGTTTTTTCTTCTTATCTACTTTTGAAAAATTTAGTGTAACGATTTTTGAAGTCTCCATTCGGCTTATCAAATAATGTAATATGATGTCTATGTATATTTTTTTATGTACTGTAATCTTTTGTTTATGATAATTGTAAAAAAAGAGAATTTCATTTCTTACTAAAAAATACATATATAACATGGCATATATTCATGTATCATATAATATATACTCTATACGGGGTATTCCATGTGAACTCACCCAGGTCAAAACCCTCACCATCGCCAATCATATTGCCGATTTTTCCTGTGGTTGTATATGAAAAAATATGATTTCTCAATTTTTTTCAGATTTTTTGAGGCATCCTGTGGACAGCCATGTTTTTTTGCAAGTTTTATCTTCAAATGCCTGTAACTTCCGTAAAAATCAACCGATTTGAGTTTTTTTTACAAAATGTGCGTCTTTGAACACACTTTCCATATAAAAATATGCCAATTTTTTTCAATTCATTCTTTCATCGATTTCCTCAGAAAAACCTCAAAAAATTGCAGTGAATATATTGGACCAAAACAAAATTGTTCACCAAAGGCCAAAGTGGGCTTCCCATTTTGTGGTCGTCGTTTCCAATTTGAATATATGAATCCGGGATGAAAAATTTCAAAAATTTCAAAATTCTTTTCGCATTTGAACGCAGAAGCATTATTTGAATTTACCGCCTGAAGAATCACTGCATTATATTCGAATCTGGNAGCATTATTTGAATTTACCGCCTGAAGAATCACTACATTATATTCGAATCTGGAACAATGTGATGACTTTTTGAAAATTCGTTAACAATAAATCTTTCCGAGTGGTGTGTTCTAATAGAGATTCCACTTTGGCCTTTGGTGAAAAATTTTACTTTGGTCCAATATACTCACTGAAATTTTTTGAAAAATATAAAAAGGATCCAACTTTGAAAACGACCCGTTTTTTGAAGTTTTTTGAGGTTTTTCTGAGGAAATCGATGGAAGAACGAATTGAAAAAAATTGGCATATTTTTATATGGAAAGTGTGTTCGAAGACACACATTTTGTAAAAAAAAACTCAAATCGGTTGATTTTTACGGAAGTTACACGCATTTGAAGATAAAACTTGCAAAAAAACATGGCTGCCCACAGGATACCTCAAAAAATCTGAAAAAATTTGAGAAGTCATATTTTTCCATATACAACCACAGGAAAATTGGCAATATGATGGTGAGGGTTTCGACCTGGGTGAGTTCACATGGAATACCCCATACAGTATATAACACATACTATATATATTATACATGTTTTATACTATAATTTTTTTAACGATAAAAAAATTTAATGAAGTTCTGTATTGTAAGAAAAATATATAGGGTTGTATATGTGTATATAGTACATAATACGTCCCTAAAAATAAAAAAGAACGTAAAAAGCCGAAAAGAAACGAAGAAGATGAAGAGAATTATTATGATTCCGCATAAATTATTCAACAATTAAATCCCCATTGTAAAAAACTTTGCGAAAACCAATACTTTGCCTGTATTATTATTGAGATAAAAATTAATGAAAGTGAAAAACGGTAAGGTTTTACTATTCTGGCACCCAGAAGGGCGAAGCGTGCGCCCTATTCTAGTATTGAAAAAATTCAAGCAAAATAATGAAGATAATTTACGCTGAGGAATTTCGATAGGAACCCAATTCCAACAGAATAAGTGGTATGTCCTGATAAAAATCTATCGATATTTTGTACGAAATATTTTCTTTAAACATTTCTGTTGGACCTATTTTTTACATTTTTTTTCTGTTGAAACTAAACGTGCCTAATTTTTCAATAGAATTGAAAAAAAACAACTAGAATTTACCAACGAAATCAGATAAAATTTTTTCAAAATTTGAGATTTTTTTTTCTATCAATGTTTCTTCATAGGTTCCGTGAAAAGAAAAGTATGAGTTACAAAAGTTCTCCCGTAAATATTTATATCTCTTCTATTTCCCATATATTTCCGAAAAATTGCCCTCGAGGTTACACAGAAAAGTTGTTCCCACAAAAAGTTATTTCCATCAACTCTACTTTGTCCAAGTTTCCTCAGCGAAATTTTCCAGAAGTATTACCTGATAAAGTCGACTCCCAAGGCTCTGGATATTTCGATTTCTCAGGGGACATAGAATCATAGAGCTGTTTCCACTCGTTCAAATGTATTTCAAAGCTTTTTGGGAAGTTCGAGAAGGGCGGGAGTTGTCCCACCCTCGATATTTCCTCCCACGATTTATCTGGAAGCCAATCAGCCGCGGGATTCTGCGGGGTTTTACCCACCACAATGCCCCCAGACAGAAAGAACATCAGCTCATTTTTTATTATTTTCTCCTCCGCTAGTAAAATTGTTGTGTACAGCAAGAATGAGTACAGGACTTTGTCCTTTTCTAGGAGCGATCTGCAAACGTTTTGGTAGAGATTGTACGTAAATGTGTCTCGAAGATACATCAATCGTTGCTCGAGGATTTTACTCTTGTTTGCTGTATCTATGGACACGATGTAGAGGTTGATGAACCACGAGAGGGAATATTGGTACATGGGGTCGATGCTGGGGAGATCGGTTACTGTGTAGTATAATGAGGAGCTGTGTTTCGCTATTGGTCTGTAACTCTGGCGGAAGACCTCGATTTTTTTCTCCGTACGTTTCGCAGCTTCTTGTTTCTTCATTATATCCGTTGAAAGAAGTTTCGAAGAGTCGAGGATCTCAATGGCTTCCTCATCATCGAGGATCGCAGCACCGGATGTGGCTAGGGTCTTCAGGATGCTGTCCTCGACGCCTTTCAGGGCTTTTCGGTTCGCTGCACCTTCGACTATCAGGAATTCTCGTTTTTTCTGGAGGTCTGGGCGCTCTTTTGCGACTACTATTCCCAGCAGTTGGTCCTCCAGGCCCTCGATTGTCAGCGCGAAGTTTATTAGGGTCACCTTGTTGAAGACTTCGGGGAGATAGTGGGGGTTGCGGTACTTGGTGGTCATGTAGAGGCGAAATCTCTCGTCGTATTGGATTGTTTTCTCCCCGAGGGTGATGTACAGGCCACCGAATACTTTGTAGGTGTTTTTTGTGAGGATTGGGTCGAGGGGGGCGTCGAGGTCCTCTGCGATGTTTTCGATTAAAATTGGTTTGCCTGGGAGAAGTTCAAATGCAAGGTACTTTCTATGATCATAATTTTTTTATTAAACAGTGTAAATTGAATTGAAATATAATAACAAAAACGACTTTTTCTTTGAAATTATGTCTCAATTTGTTCTTCCGCCACATCGAATTAAAAATCCATTTCTTTCCTTGAAAGAACATGGTTTTCCGCGTATTCACCTAAATTTTCAAATTGACACCCTGATACAAGCCGTAGCATTTTATGAAACCGTGAAAAAAAAAATCATCTAACTCTTCGACAACATTTTATATGCACGACTATCAAAATTCTTGTCTGGCGCAATACAATTCATCCTAATAATATTCTTTAACACTCCGTTGGTCGCGCAAAGTTTACGAATGCCGTTGGTCGCGCCGTAAACGCCGCGCGGTACCAGCATAAATCGGCATAATGATAAATAAATTTGAAAGATCTAGGAAATATCTGAAAACAATCAAGAGTGATCTACATCGTACACTTGAAGAAGTCCCGTGAAATTTTTCATGTTCAGTGTTACCCTTAATTATATATTTAAGCCCGAAGTTCCCATGTTTTTCTGAATGAAAATTTGAAAATCTAACTACTTGGGATATTTTTGGCGGATATTTTCATTGATAGGGCTTCTAAACACCTTAAAATGAGAAAAATAAATGAATTTTCAAATTTGATTCAAATTTAAAAATTCAAATTTAAAATTCAAGTCACATTTTTCTGAGGCTTTACTGCAGTGTAATTTTAAAGAATCGAAAAAAACGCGACCAACCGAGTGTTGAAATTTAACGAGCAGAATTGTGCCATTCTCTTATTTGGAAAAATTCTGAATAGTAGAGTTCTTGAAAGAGACATTACAAGGTTTGAAATCTGCCCGTGAACTGACGTTGTGGGCTGTGGGTTTCGCGTTTGATTCATGTGGGAGGTTCCGAGTTGGAATCCCGGCCGATCACGTTATGAGATTTTATTCGCTAAAGTGTTAATCAGTCGTCTAAATAACATGTTATGAAAAGAGGACATTAAATAAACGATGAACGAAAAATTTCGATCTCGCTCAAGGTCCCGTGTAGTAGGTTCGGAGACGTTGGGAAGCGAAATGCTAAAACAGGTGGGAAATTGCTTTTTTATTGCATATAGTATAGTTATTTTTGCTAATAAATTAGCAATATGCTTCCGAATGGTTATTTTGGAGTCGACACTCGATCGTTTTACTATGGAGAGTCTTGCAAGATTTTTCCTACAAAATCGATACGGGAGCTGGGGGGATGGGAAGAAAATTCATGGAAATCTGAGAGAGAAGGGAAATTTTTTCCGAAAACTTTCGAATGCTCTTAGAATAATATCTAAAATTCGATTATTAATCAAATGAAAGAATGATGCAATCTATTTGATCTTTAAATTTCGATGAAATGTTATCAGAACAATTTCATTTATACATAATTGAATGAATTTTAAACACCACGTGAGAAAACCCATCAGAAAGCTCACTTTCAGGGAAATTTATGAAAAATTAGAAATTTTCAAAAATCATCGTAAAAATCAGATCAACCGAGATAGCTACTGTCATCATCTTTTAACTGCGACATAATAGGATTGGAACGAACATTTTCAGCTATGATTGAATTCATTTGGAGCATAATATTTGAAGATATCCCCGGAATTATGATTTTCAAAAACTACAAAATTTTTTCAAACTTTCAGATAAATCAAAAGAACGATTATGGCTATCACCTTCATCTTCGAACTCGGTCACAAGGACACACAAACTAATTGTTTGAACCATCATTCAATGAATTTAAAACATTTTTTTTAGTTATCGTGTTACAGCTGATTTTTGAAAAAAAATAAAAAAATTAAAAAAATGAATGAATTAATTTAATTTTGATTAACGGCGATGGATACGGCTCAACAATACCTACATTAAAAAAAAAAGATTCAATTCCATCGATTTCTCAGCGAGAAATTAAAGAAAAAATTGAAAAAATTTGTTACACACATACACACATACGTACGGATGACGTCTAAAAATTGCATTTTCGGACTTTCTGAATCATAATAAGTCGATATAATACAAAAAATCGAAAACTTTTTTTCGAACGATTACAATGCTTCCATTCGGAAGCAAAAAGACGAGCCCTCAAATAATAGTGGGAAATTTAATCTTGGACCCACCTGGCAACGTGTGATAACCCAGTGATCAAACACGCGTTCTGCAATTACCATAATATCATTTAGAAATGTCAGAATTTTATTTTTCGTGTATCGTGCTAGGTATCCCTGACTGATATTAATTTATTTTCTAGAAAAAGTAAAAGAAGTTCGATTACTGGTTTGGTTCGATCACTGGGCGGTTCACCCTATATGATAGCAGGTTTTGAGAAATAAAAGCAAATTGAAATATTTCCCTGAAATTCAGTACCGAAGTGGTAAAGCGGTACAAGTGAATTTTGATTATTGACCAGTTTTCAATGAATCTCTCGGAATCTAAGGGAGATAGTAAAATTTTTGTTATAACCTTTTTTGTAGAGTCAATTGAGAGCTACAACAAATGTAATTACGAAAATCACGCTATCTCCCTTTGATGATTCGGAAATATTCCTCAAAAACTCAACTGGGAGATGAGTCGACTTGAACCGTTTTACCACTTCACTACTAAATTAAAAAACGTATATATGCTGAATAGAAAAAATTCACCGCAAGGTTTCTCCCCTACTAATAGTCTTACGAGGCTGAAAATTCAAGATAAAGCTCTCCTAAACATGTATAACAGAGTGAAACTTGCAGTCCAATACAAAATTTGACCCTGAATACCAGACCGATCGATCAATCAAGTATATTCTCATATAGAACAATTCATCTAAAAATCCTGTTTTCCAAAAAATTACAAATCGTAATTTTATCAGTGATTTTTGCGTTTGCATGACTTAAAAATTCATATAGGATAACATTGGAATACTTCGAAATCAATAAAATGTGAACAATCTACATTTGCATTTTAATTCCAAACAGATTTTCTCTATTCCTTCTTCATTAATTTCATTAATGAATCCATTCCAGAGCATCACGGTACACACTGTTATTTTTTTGAAGTTATAGTTCTCAATATGATGAAAACTAGTTTACTGAGCCAAATTTTTTCAGTGCCAAAAAATATCTTTGTGGTAATATCAATCGAATAAAATTAGAAAGTTCAATAGAAATTTCGATTTTTCATTTTTAAAATGAAATTACCATGGATCCACTCGGAAAATTACAAACAATACAATTAGTAGAAATAAATAAGAAAAAGACTAATGAGATACAAAATAACGGTCAGATGTCTTCTGTCGGATAGACTCAGTTCCCTGCTTGTTTCTATGCAAAGAAGTTTGAGCGAAACATCTCTTTATTTACCGTTCAGAGTGCAGTATTTCGGGAAAAAAAATAAATGCAGAGCTAGGTGGAAAATTTAAAACAAAACTGTTGGGTACCGTTGAACACTGCGCTCTGTTTAGCTGACCGAGTTAGGAAAATGAGCAGAGAAATCTATAAATCTCCAAAAAGTTGGAGAAATCTCCAGAAATTGGAACTTTCTGTGGTGTATTCCCCTCGTATGCAACTCAGCGCACTAATTTATAGCCTGTGTTGGAACGCGGGCTCTGAACTAACTCGTTTTTGCGTGAATCGCAAACAAAAAAAAACAGATTTATTATGTGAAAGATAAGAAGATAAGAAGAAGATTACCAAATTCAACACATTGTTCCATAATATCCATATAATTCTTATCCGTCAACTTGACGACTTCCAATTCACTCGCTTTCTCCATATTCCTAATCCACTTATTCGCCTGACTCTGAGGATCAATAAATAAACTCCATCTCTTCGAATTATCCATAACAATAGCATTCTCAGTAGAGAAACTATCCCTAGGCAATCCAAATATATTCCACGAGTTAATTTTAATCTCAGATCCCAGAACTGTGACAAAGTTGAACTCCTCGGAGCAGGGAATCTTGAGATTTTGAACATAAACTTTCCACTTGTCCACATATTCCACTCGGTAGGAAGTTATGAATGGACCAAGATAGGCAATGATGCCGCAGGAAATGAGAATATCCCCGGGTAGTGTATCATATGCCCTTTGGAGACTCTCTGCCGAACTCATCCACCGGTCCTTCTCACCCCCCAGTCCGTTGATGAGTTTCTCAGCCCTAGCTAGTTGATTCCTACAGGTGATCACTTGATTTTCCAGCGCTATTTTCTTCTCAATTGTTTTCTCAAGATCGTCTCTCAGTAATGCCAACTTTTCGTTCAACTCTCCCAACATTTTTCGTTGTTCCGCCAAGAAAATCATTGTGTCTTTGTAATCTTTTTCGGCGGAAGCCAGCGCTGCTTTTTTCGGCGCCACTTCTCGGGCAACTTTATCGTAGAGAACCATCGCTCTTACCCATTTGCAGAGACCCTCAGCTGCTGAGGAGGCTTTCGCCACGATCTTTGGATCGAAACTCGCGTTCGATAGATATGTCTTCTTTATTGTCTGATTATGAAGGAAAGGAGTGATTAAATGAGTGGATTAAGAAGAAATGAGATAAGGTAAAGGGAATTGAAAATGCTAATTTTGTAATTGAAATTGAATACATCGATCTTTGTATGAGTCACATGGTGAAAAATATGTTGATGGAAGAAACGAGAAATATTCATCGGATGAATTTTAACCCTAGTCTGGTCACCTGACGGGAAAATGCGACTTTAGTCACCTTTGCGGGAGAGTGCCGCCGTGTTATTTAGGCTCCAGCGTTGCCGAATCGACTCTACACTTCCCGGGCGCGTTTAGCGAGTTTCCAGCAACGTCGCGCAACAGGCAATTTCATTTAACACGGGAAAAAATTGTTCACCTGTTGGAAATAATTTTTTTTCTCCCAGAATTAAGGATACAATTTTGAAAAAAAAATACTAGAATTTTCCAAATACTTCAATTGACAAATTCAATTTTTCTCAAATTTTTCCAGTCAACCAGTCGATGGCAAGGTGAATAAAAGGACGTGTTGCAGCAATTCCCTCGCATGGTGACCAGTCTAGGGTTAATGTGGTACACTGAGAAAAAAAATTTCTAATATCTGAAACATATTTTCCTGAGACAAGTAAATTTTCTTCAATTGCTTAATTTTCTCAGGCATCTCAACTCACATGACCCGAGAAAGACCTCATGCTTTAAAATATTCTTGTACTTAAGTATGATTTTGTCACAAATGAACTTACTTAAATCGCGTAGGAGAATCATCTTCATTGTTTTCATGATTTTTTCGTTATGCACTTCCAATATTGCAATATGTAAAATATTCATGACGTAACGGAGAACGATAGCGATGAATGAAAATTTATTCGAGTTCCGTGAAGTGCACACATTCTGAGATTTAAGTCATTGAAAATAATTTACTTCTCTCAAGAAAATATGTTTCAGATATTAGAAATTTTTTTCTCAGTGTAATGAAATGGTGGGAGACCCCGGTGGCTTGGCGCAGTGGATAAGTTCGTTGCCTCCCATGCGAAAGGTTCCGAGTTCAAATCCCGGCCGGGTAGAATGGTACGATCTAACCATTTAAAGTCTTGATCATCATCGCGTATACCCTAATCGGGTCGAAGCGATGTAAAATAACGATAAAAAAAAGAAATGGGAGAGTATAACGCGAAATAGCCCTCATGAATAATGATATTACCGTAGATCTACTAGTTTTCGGATAGTCAATCTGCATTTAAATAACACGTCCGAACGGGACTTTTTGGATGCCGGATGACTGAGGTCCTCAAATTACCCGTCAAAGAGCTGTGTACATGTCATTCAATGTTGATGGTAATTAGACGTGAGAAGAGAAAAGAAAAAAAGAAATGAAAATGGTGATGAGATTAAACTTTCGAAAATCCACCGTACAGGAATTGTTATGGCGTACGGATGGTACATTTTTTTTTTGAAGGTGAGATATGAATAGGATAAAAGTGAAGAGCGTACGATCTGGAAATTATTGAAAATGAGCTACTCCTCCCCAGGAGTTATTGCCAAATTGCTCAGTCCGTACAGCCTTTAGATTTTAGGGGAAGTATTTGTATCGAGATTAGGCGTTAGAGGTGCGCTTGTCACAAATGTCAAGAATATGGTCCAGCTTCTGAGGTTCTAGTGTGTTCTCTCGAAATTCCTTTCTCTCAAAATATGCACTTACTCAACAAAGCCGTCCAATTCAACGATTTTGCTTTATGTAATCTTCATGATTTAAAATTAATGTCTACCTCGGAGCACGTCAAAAAAACTTCGTTAAAAAACCTGGTCTAGCATATTATGTTATAAGTGCCTAAAAACCACTTTTTCGCACGCACGGGTAACACATCCTATTTTTTGTGATACTTGCCAAGTTCACTATTCGAAACGGTAGTGGGGGTAAAGTGGTTGTTTTTGTGCACGAACTGCGTAAAGTTCAAGGTTGTGCGGAAAGTGAATTTCTTCACAGGCAGGTATCACAAAAAAATTCCACTTGGGAAACTGAACTTTTGGTTAGTTGAACTTTTGTCAAATTGAACTTCCGTCAATAAAACCTTTCGGTTATCTTGTCTTTTGTAAGAATATAGGTAAAATCTGTGTTTGCGCTTGGAATTTCAGAGTGTTGTCATCCGTTTTGTTTCGTTCCTTGGTGAAGGAATAATCGATATTCCTGGACTATGAGAATCGTGTGAGGCGAATTGTGATTGATTATGGCAAACGTGCTACTGTGCAATATTTGAGAGGGATTGCGTCGAATGTTGTGCTTCAAGTGTTGTGTTGTGGATATAAGTAATTGTTATTTATTTTCTTGTGCATATGAATTTGTGACAAATCATTTGTAATCAAGACTTGATGCTGTTCATTCTGGATACAATGTTTTGCGTTGTGGTTCGTTCGGCTTTTTTCCATTTTTGCTTCCGAATGGTAGCTTTATTGTAATTGTCCAAATTTAACTTTCCAAATCAAGGTGATTAAATATGCCCCAAAAAGTCCGACTACGCGATTTTTAGAAGGTGTTAATTTTTTCGCAATTTTCTTTATACGTTGAAAGTTTAAAATTTTTTTTCGAGTGTTTTGAAGTTTAGATTGTTCGATTTTTTTTTCTTCGTTGTTTTTGTTACCAATTTGTTGTTTTTGTTACCAAAGTTTTTTTGACGAAGTTTTTTTAACGGAAGTTTTTTAGACATGGACCCGTTTACCTGTATCGTCTCCATCGGAATATTCTCCTTATCATAATTCTTCAAATTCTCCAAGAACTTCATATCACTGAGAATCCTTTGAGCAACCTTCCAATAATCCAATCTTGTTTTTCCAGTACTAGTATCCAAAACCTTTTCAGGTTGCACATTCATCATAACACAGACAGCAGCCATGACCAGCTTAACAGTCTCCGGCGGGTTCTTCATAGTCTTCACCATGGCAATATCCGCAGGCTTCAGCGTATCCAACGCAGCAATAGCTTCATTCAACACAGGCATAGCCTCCTCAAGATCAGCTTCACACTCAGCCTTCAAGGCCCCGGCGACTTTCGCCTGAACATTCGCAGCATCTTCGTCCTTCTTCACCTTCATCGTCGCCTTCTCAACAATCACATTCTCCTTCTCGATCTTGTTCATAGTATCAGCCGTCAGCTTCGCCGATCTCTCAAGTTCCGGTCTCAGTGCCACAAGAGTTATCTTCATTTTCGATATCTGCTCAGCAGCAAACGCCAATTTTTCCAATCCCCCCAGATACCGATCCCTGGCCAACGTCAATTCCTCCTGCTTCTCCTGCATCAGGTCCGCATAACTTCTTATCAAATCCAGAAAAGCCGCGGATGTTACGTAAGTCTTTCGCCCCTTGGCTTGATAAAAATCTTCGCTCATTTCTTTAGCACATACATGGAAGTACTTGCACGCGATCACAGCATTCACTTTCACTGCCTCCTCGACATTGATATCGGTAGTGAATCTGACAGCAACCTGTTCTAGGGCATCCTCTGGCCATATCTCGAACCAGTCTATGGTGCAGCAATTTACGAGGCTGGGGTACATCCTCAAACGCGTTCTAAATGAGTCGCCGATAGGACTGAAGCACAACATCAAGTGCAGCTTCTCTTTGCACTGGTTAACGAAGAACGATAAGACGGATAGGACGGAGATGTCGAGGTTCCGGTTGCCACCTTGTGCCGCCAGACGACACATTTCTATGACTTCCTGTCTTTCTTCTATGGTGAAGAGGTTGGGGACCTCCCCGGAGTTGAGGAGACTGTCGATATCGCTGAGAAAGGCTTCTTCTTTTATTTGACCCTCTGTTATAAGGAAGACTAGGTCCTTTTGGACACCTCCAGAGCGTTTTAAAACGCCTTTGATGTCCTCACGCCATTCATTTATGCCGTAGGCACTTCCTATTTCCGGTTGGAAGAGACCGCAACCCGCCATGTTGGATGCTAGTCTGGTTAGTGATTGACGGCCAGAGCCGCCAACTCCAACCATTAGTAAACTTCCTCCTGAAATCATGAGGTAGGGATGTTTAGAAGTGTGTCGAGGGGTTTAGAATTCATGAAAACTATATACATTTTGCTTCCGAATCAAAGATTTGTAACAGGCATAGCCATATCCATAAATTATAATTATTGTTTAATCATTAAGTAGTTAATTAGCTAACATTGTTACGAATATCGAACTTGCGGACGCGTTCTTTCATTTTGACGTTCTTTTTTTTTCTTTCCCCTTAAATCTCCTTGTTGAAAGTTACTTCATTCTATTGTTTCCATTCTAGTTTTGTTTCGGGTTGTTTTCATCCTGTCATTTTCTCTAGTCCCTTTTAATTTAATAAACTTTTCTTAATTATTTCCACTGCGTTTTCAATATTACTCTTCAATTTTAATTATTGAAGTAATCATCAATTTAAATAATCAAATTTCGTCAAATTTAAACAGTAATTGAGTTGGGAAGATTGACGATTATTTGGATAATCGGAAATCCTTTATAAGAAATTTAGTATTATTTACTTAATAGCAAATTTATAGTTCTATATTTTTAAATATTTAATTTATCATTAATTGGGAATTTAAATTATGAATTATTTTCTATTTCAAAATTTAGATTCGTATATTTAAACCTTGATCAATGTAAGTCGGAAATTCTTTTAATATTGAAGAATCAGAAGATTGATGGCCTGATCTCTGATTTGTAATCGCTCAAATTTGAGTTTGGAAGTTTTTGTGTTAGGGTAACTAAATATGGTCTAACAAGTCCGAATATGGGATTTTTAGGTGGTGTCTGTATGTGTATGTATGTATGTATGTGTGTATATATGTATATGGTTTTTCCTTCATATTTTTTCTCGAAATTGTCTTATAAGAGGTCAATCGAAATTCATGATTTTTTTATGAACACAGACTTTAATAAGTTCTATTCATTGACACCAATTAAAATTTAATTTTTCTCACCAATGCGCAGAAATTGATATTTCTCGTCAAAAATCGATTTTTCAACGACTACTCAAAAAATGCGCAGAAATTGATATTTCTCGTCAAAAATCAATTTTTCAACGACTACTCAAAAAATTGTCATCAAGATGGAATTAGTCATGGCTCAAAAAAATTGATAACAATACCCTCTTGATTCTATCAGAATATGCTGGCGGTCGTACGATTCGTTGTTGAGTTACAGCGCATTGTTTATGCGATTTGGAAGAGAAAATCGGATTTTTCATGATTACTGAAAGAATCATCAGTAATAGCAATTAAATGAGGCCTTGAAAAGTATATTTCAATGTTTTCTTAATCAAGTTGAAAAATGGTGAGAACGGTATCATTGCTTGTTCTGAAAATGAATTTCTAGTTAATTTATGGTTCTGGGTGCGTTGAAATGGCACACCATGCAAATGCGGCAACGTTACGTTGATTGACCGCTGAAAATATCATGGAGAGGGAAATACTTTCGAATGTACGACGCTACTAGAGAATAAACCAAGTGGTTAATTGCCTTTTTTGTAAATGAGTATAGTTATGGCTGCGAATAAATTAGTAACTTGCTTCCGAATGGATTCTCTTTTTTTCGCGTCATTAAAATTTTTACGCATTATTTAATTCTTTGAAATGATTCTATGCTCAAAACTTCTTAAGCCTCGAATTCGGTTTCAGTCGGGGTTTAATCAAAGTTCAATCAAGGTTTAATCAAGATTTGGTCAGACTTTAAACCAGGTTCAGCCAGGAGTTAGTCGAACCAATGAATCAATATGAATAAGTATTCAACATAATAGACTACTGCCTGAGTTTAATAGAGGTTCTGACATAAAAGGCCCATGACGTTGTTGTCTAATTTGATAAGCAATGATGCTATTCTCACCAACTTTTAACTTTATTCACCCTCGATCACTCCCGCTCGGCCGCCAGCCTACATCCGTCGCACGGTTAGCGCAGCGCCGCTGGGTTAAGGTACTTCCGCAGTAAGTATACTTGGTGAAAATTTCGAAATGGTATAAAGACGCAATATTTGGATCATATGTTGTTGACCACATTAAAAAGATATTTCCAAAATTTCAAGTCCCTGGTCCACCCCATTTTTGAGATATGCATCGCCAAACATTCAATTTTTGTGTTTTTTCCATTTTTGACGATGTATATCTCGAAAATGGGGTGGACAAGGTACTTGAAATTTTGGGAATAGTTTTTGAATGTGATCAACAACATATGATCCAAATATTGCGTCTTTATTCCATTTCGAAATTTTCACCAAGTATACTTACTGCGGAAGTTCCTTAAACCGAGCACGCTGTTGCCACCTTGGCGTTTACTGCTATGCGCGCATTCCAAGTGCGGCAGTGAATGTAGCAATACTGTCGTTCGAGTGGTCGACAGGGACGCACTCGCACCGGGCGGCGTGGCACTGCTTTTCTGTCTGTTTGATATTTCTTTTCTTTTTTTAGCTAAACAAATTTCCCGAAAAAAAAGAACAACGCATAGTGTAAAACAACTTATCTGTCCTATTCAACCATACAATACTATCAGCTATCTGAAATAGCTATTCATCTACTCTTTTGTTTTTTTTCTGTGTTCTATAATCAAAACATTGTATATCATATGTAAATACCAGGCTGAAGGCACTCGGGCGGAGGCCAGTCACAAGCTTCTTGTGACGAATTCCGTTAAAAATAAAATAAATAAGGATAACGCCAGCGCTTACTAAAAGGACTGAACTAGGAACTCTAATTTTTTAAGAATTTTTGAGCGTCGAGAAACACGCGAAAATATAAAAAAACAAAAACAAGTGGCGCCGCGTTCATTGAGCAAGTGATCGAGGGTTAAGAAGCACGTATGAAAAAATTCAAAGAAAACTATTGGAATTCCATAGGAATTCTATGGGGTTTCTATAGGATTTCTATTGGAATTCTATTGAAAAATTCTATTTGTTTTTTGCGCGGATTCTGTTAGATATTCGATCTGAAAAAGTCAATAAATTTCGAATTTCTATTTGACTTTCTCTCTTAAGATTGTTTCTAGAAGAATGCTTGGACATCAGTTTTCCAAGTTTTTTCCACTCGAATTCTATAACGCAAAACAAAAGAAAATCCAACGAAAAAAACTTAGAAAATTGAAGGAGATTCGAATAATCATAGCGCAAAAAAATCTATCCATTAATGATTTAGAATACCACCCTTACCTGGAATTGCGAGGATCCTGCAGACTCTCGCCAAATGTTCCAACGCATATCGAAACAAGACAATATCCATCTTGTTCCTATGCGTAGTGTTGTAATCCTCAAGACTCAGCGTCGCAACCATCTTGAACTCCTCCATGGAAGCCACCTCTTCGTACCGTTTATCTTCTTGAATCGCGTCTGGATCCATAAAATTCCCAAATATCAAATTCTGAAGACTGACTTCGTTGATTTGGTCATTCTCCTTAGGCAAATGTTCAAAGACAACTTCGAAGTTCTCCCTTATGATCCTCTGAACGGTATCCCTCATCTGCCTGAATAACCACTGTCGATCAGACTGGTCGATCAATCGGTCTCCAAAGACTCTCAAAATCTCATGAACCCAGAGTCTCGTGAAAGTTGTTTTAGACTCCACCGACTCTTTCTTGATCATCGCACAGCCTCTAATGACCCTCGAGAAATCTCTAAGATTGAAAAGATAGTGGGACTTTGCGGGAGTTGGTCTCAGGAATTCACTGGCATTCTTGAAGACGTCTAACGTTGCATTTACCAGACATACGACTGTGGACATCACATCAGCAGCAAAACCGTTTCGTTTGAGCCCGACTAACGCGAGATTCGTGAAGATCTTGGTGACGCTGTCATCAGAGAAGTTATTGATCGAGTATAGATTAAAGTGCCGAAGGAATCGATGGTAGATCTCCTGCCTGCTGCCCCCTGGAGGTCCCATAGCGCAAACAAACATGGTGTCGTAGATCAATAGCTTCTCTGGTTCCTTCAACTCGTACCAATAATTGTGATCAAACACCTGGCGGAGGAGTTCAATGGCGGGCTGGGCTCCATACACCTCCTTCGTTGGCATATTGACATCGTCGATGAAGACGACACACTGAGTCCCAACCATCGGCCCAAACTGCCCCTTCCTCCTCTTGTAGAGCTTCGAAATCACCAGCTCTTGGGCATTCGCTGCTGATGTCTTCGCAGTGAAGGTGATAAGATTTGGTAGATAAAACTCCTCTTCCAATTTGTTCATCATGATATCCTGGATGTAAAAACTTTTACCAGTTCCAGTTTCTCCGTAAAGAAGAAAGCGCTTGCGATGCTTGATGTGTTTCAAGAAGAGACTCTGATATTTCATGGTGTCAATGGTGGGAATTATCATCTGTCCAATGCTCGCGGTTTCGATGATCTTCTCCATCCTCGCGGCGTCTCCAAAGTTCTTCCAAGCGCCCTTACCCTTGAACGTGTAGAAGTTATCGTGGATCAATCCCTCGGTGGGTAAGGCAATAAGACTATCGATGATACTCTCTGGCATCGGAAGCTCCTCAACTTGATTCTTCCACAGAGAAATGCAGAAGTCATTGAATTTTTCGAGAGAATCGGCGTCTAGAGTCCCCCCAATCCCCCAGACGATGGCCAGCATCATCGCTGCTTGGATCCAGAACTCAACATTTGACTCGTAGTCATCATTCTCCTCTACTGCGTCATCCATGTACATTTGGAAGAGGTTCATCGTTGATACCACTTGGTTTATTTGTCCGGAGAACAAGGAAATTTTGCACTTCTTCCTGACGAATTCTAAGGAAGGTTCAATTAACCAATTGAACAAATCTCTGATCGTGCCCATTTGAGGCTCTGCCCATTTTACATCTAGAGTGTTGTACCAGGACTCGACAAAGGGCCTCCAACCAATGACATGAGGCTCGATGTAGATCATACCTAGAGATAGAAAATGACTGTCATTTTTGAGACCGCGTCATATGACCAAAAAAGAAAATCAATGGAATATTCCATTCTTCAATGACAAGATTTCCTGAAATTTCAGTGGAAATTAAACATGATAAAAATTTTCGGGATTTGGCGGGGAAAATTCAGACGAAAATTTTTAGCAGTGTATAGAGATGAAAAATGAACGTGATTTTCGTTTCGAAATGCACATTAGGAAAACACTGAGAGAAAAATATAATTCTTCTGACTATATTCCATCACCATCGAATTATAGTCAAAAAGTCCTCAACAATTTTTCATGGGTTACGGTAACTATGGCCGGAGAAGTAATTACTACAATGGAATGTAGTCATTGCAACTATTTTATAGTTCTACTCACGATGGATTTGTCGTGGTTACTTTTGAACTTTGGTTAGTTTAACTGTATTTTGATTTGCAAAAATTACGCTTGTGAAGTTACTATAATGTTATGGGCCGCATACAAAAAAAATCGTATCGTTCATAAAAACTGCCTCAACTATTTTCTTATTGTAAATCGAACTTCAGATTTTTCTCTCAGTATACTACGAAATGAATTGAAATAAAAGTTGATACAGAGATAACTATTTTCATCACAATGTTCGTAAACGGCGTTTAACGGACGCGAAGTCAAAGATTATGTTCGTCACTCTGTCGAAAACAAGATTTCTGACTCGTGTGATTGCATTTCTTGGCTTCGCCTCGGTCTGCAGCCCTCACACTCGTCAGAAAAGTTTTTTTCGGCCTTGTAACGAAAATAACTATTTCGGCCGAGTGACGAACATAATTTTTCGTAAAGTCTGTAAACGTCGTTTTACGGATAGTGGGTGAAAACATTGCATCTATATAGACGAAAAATGACTCATATTTCTGGCAGATTGTGACGGTCATAGAGAAGGGGGAGGGGAATTGTGACAGCCGTCATAAAAGCCTCGTCATGTGACCGTCATATAACGGGTCGTGTAACACATTTGCATCTCTAATCATACCACAACGTGAAACTGTGGCAGGCGACGCCTGAAGCAGATCCATCGCTTCAAAGATCATCGACATCACGTTCGTCATCTGCATGACCTCCCCAGACGTCAAACAAAGCTTCTTATTGTCATCCAACACAGTGTTTAGATTCTCTATCCACACGGCATCAACAGGTCCATCGAAAATCAGCCATTTCCTGGACGGTGACTCATCTGAACAGTATCTTCTGAAGGCAACAGCGCAGACCCCATCAGTCCACTCTGAGGAAACAGGATCAAACTGTCCATACAATTGCCCCATCGTTATCGATTTTGGATTGACAGTTGTGAAGATTGTCGTTGCTCCATTGTCATCTCCCCACTCTTCCATGAGAGTCAGGGCGTCAGCGAGGGTGTGGAGGACTGAAGTTTTCCCGCCAAAAGGATCGCCCACGAGCATGAATCCATGTCTGACGATCATCATTTCATAGGTTTGAATGATCTTCAGGAGAAATGCGTCGACTGGCTGAAGATTTTTCTTCTCTGCCGCTACTTTCACGGCTTTGATGAGGACGTCGTAGCTCGGTGATGGGAGTTGTACCCCTGGGAAGAGATCGGATATGATACCTTCGAATAATGGAACGTCGTGGGATAGGAACTTTGGGAGGTTGACGTCGATTATTGATCGCAGGAGAAGAATCAGTTCGTCTTCGTTTGGGTACTTCAGCTTGACGTTCTGCGCTGCTGTCAGGACAGTCTTCACAGCTCTCATGCCGTAGTCGTAGTGAGATTGGGAGGACAATTGCTCGGAACAGAGTTTGTAGGTCGTCACGATCTTGACTGAGAGGACTCGAGCAGTGCTGAAGCCAGAAGAATACAGGAAGATCTCCCCTATCATAGCGTAATCTGGGACCATCATGGCGACTGTTCTGAATAGGACTTTCAGGTTGTCCGGAAGCTCAGATCGTCCTGCGTAGCCGGGGTTCATGGTGATACAGACGTAGACGGCGGGGTTCAGCCTGAGTTCGGTTCCCTCGAAGATGAAGGTGTCGACGTGGGCTCGCACTGCTTGGATGATACAGAGAATCTGCTGGGCTACGACAGACAGCACCTCGAGCTCGATTCGGTTGAACTCGTCGAAGCAGGCCCAGGCTCCGCAGGAGGCCAGACCCTTGAAGAATTTTCCCATGTTCTTGTAGTCGAGACCGTCGGAACAGTTGAAGACTACACATTGCACTGCTATTGCTCGACCCAGGTCTTTGGTTGTTTCGGTTTTTCCTGTTCCTGCTGGACCCTCTGGGGCACCGTTCAGATGGAGGGAGTAGGCTCCAATTAAGGTTCGATAACATCTAAATGGATGGGAAGTATTTGAGGATTTTTTCAAGGGATTGTGACAATTTTAAACCGCTATCTTCAATTTTTTTTCGTTGTTTTCGAAAAATTCATATCAATATGTTTTGAAGGCCACAGACCAAATTCGTAGAATTTCGAGAAGACAAAATTAAAAGTAACATAGATCTAGGATGAAACCCAACTTGGATAGCGGCCCAAAATATTGGTTTTGATTATAAGAGTTACTGAAAAAAAGATGAGAAAAATAAAAGGTGATATAATTTTGAAAATTCGGTATTCTGAGCGCCTAGGGATCGAAAAAAAAATTACCCAAAATTTTCTCATAGATGGTAGAAAATGGAAAATTTTGAGGTGTTATAAATTAAAATCGGCAGAGTAGAACCCGAGTTATTGAAAAAAAAAAACGAAAGAACAAAGAAAAAATCATATCTCCAAAATGGGCTGTCGAAAAAATCTGAAAAAAATTAAGAGATAATTTTTCTAGCCCCCGAATCGTAAAAAAAATCGAGATCAATTTCCAAAAGTGTGAGGGTCAGCCGTTGACGTATTTGGGATGGAATACCTCATATATAATTAAGGGTAACACACGTTGAGTAAATTTTTTCAAGCCAGCGGAGACAAATTCACTATTTTCTCGCATTTGTTGTCCCGATACAGGGTACAAAAGACCTAAAAACAGATTCCGCTCCACGATTACATGACTTGTGTAGGAATTTTTCTCCAACTTTTTTCTCCGGATAATTTCAACGTAAAAAGAAAGAAATGAATCTTCAAACGTGTCTTCATAACGCAATTTTCGGTCGATTGACATGAACTTTGGTTTATACATACAGAATATATGTGTACGTCCACGTGAAAAGGGCCCACTTTGTCGCATTTATTTTGCGAGATATTCACGTTTTTGTGTTCACACCTTCCATTTAAACCAATGTTAAACTGATTTTTAGATCTTCTATACCGACGTCATTTTTCATACTATTGTGTTAATTTTGCGCTCAAAATGTAAGGTATCTCACTAAGATTATCGGAATATACGTAACTCCAAACCGACAAAGTGGGCCCTTTTCATGTGGATGCCCACATATGCATGAACATAATTGAATGGCCGAAGGCCCTCGCACGTATGAAAAAATCGTATAGAAATTTTCTATATGGATTGAGTATAGAAATTCTATAAGATTTCCGTGTATGATATTCGGATATTTCTATACAAATATTTTCTGTACGAATTATTTCTATGCATCAATTTTTGTTTTCATAGAAAAGATGTCTAAACGTTCCGGAGAAAAACAGAGAAATGTCGTAACTCCATACGAAATGTTTCTATACATGTGGCAGGGGGTCGTATAGGATCAAACCTATAGAAATGGAATAGAAATAATTTGTATAAAAAATATCCGTATAAAAATATCCGAATATCATCTACGAAAATCCTATAGAAATTGTATCCGCAATCCGTATAGAAAATTTCTATACGATTTTTTCATACGTGGCGGGCGCTAGCTAGTTGCAAGTTCTTATAAGAACTTACAACAAATTTCGTTACAGATAAAAAATATAACTGAATAAGGCCGTTTGAAAATCGTCATTTTTGGGCTTTTGAATTTTTTCTCGAAATTACCACAAGTGAAAAATTGGTCCAATTAAAGTAGACAGTGAATTATTGAAGAGCGTGAATCATTAATTTTTTTAGATTTTTTTCATAATTTTTCTCATTGCATAAAAGATAGAGAAACAAAATTTCTTACGTCAGCCAATGTTGTGAAAAAAAAACTCATTTAATTATGTTGTTATGTTGTGTACGTATTATGTATATGTGTGAACCAAAATTTGAGAAATTTTTCAATTGAACCAGCGAAAAACTAGTACAATTTTTAATAGAAATCCCGTCAAATTTTGTAGCGAATGGACTCAATTTTTCCATGACATTTTTTGTACTCGAAGAACAATGCCGTTTAACATTCATAACTACTTATATAATGAACGACAATCTACATGAACATAAGATATTAAAAAGCTCTTTCGAGTACTCTGAATGTGTTAAAAGAAACAAGAATTGTTCCAAAAAACTAAAAACCACTGTACTTTATAATATAAAGGACAATGACAATATTATTTACCTGTCAGTTAAAGGAGTAATAACCAGCCTCGGGCAATTTCCGAGATACTCATAAGCATACGGCACAGTAGCATTGATAATCCTCACCAAAACATCATCCTCCCAATAATACCTCAATTGTGCAAGCCACTCAAAATCCGTCTCATCAATGATCTCCTTATCAATCAATAACTTGACGACATCTTGAGCATGCACATCTATTGTAATCAGCGCATTGAGGGTCGTGCGATTCTGTTTCGTCAGCTGGCCTGTCGCAAACTTTTCCCCTTAATTGAACACCTATTTAATCGATTGGAAACGTACCTTTGACGAGGTTCACCATGTCAAAGATCTGCGCCCTCAATTTTTTATACAAGCCCTCGAGATTCGACATGGTATGGGTCATCAAACAGTTCTGTACTTCCATGCTCCAATAAATCTGTGACACACAGATGATAACTTGTCCAGGCCAGATGAGGACCCACTGCACCCGCTCATTAGTCTCGTAATCAAAATAACTCATCATGATCTCATGCCGTATCGACTTCACCATCTGCTCCTCGACTTGAATGAGCCAGCGTTCGACACAACCCCTGGCAGCGCTAGTGGATATCATCTCCTGGAACTGCACCTCTTCCTTGTCATCACTGAACATGGACAAAATCTCCAACTGATCATTAAACCCTAACTTGGCAATTCCTTCAAAGCATTTCTTCAAATGTGGCTGCACTCTCAGAGGATCCTTCGTCTCGGACAGAATCTCCAGCATGTCGTCATTGCTCAGAAAGAAGAACCGCGGGAAGAAGAGTCTCTTCTTCTCCAGATAATTAGCAACTCCCTCGTTGACCTTCTCCATAAGCTCATTCGCATGCTTCAAGGCTTCGCATAAACCGGCAGATCCTGCAGTCTCTTTGACTAGTGGTTCTTTAGCGACAGCTGCCATAGCACTTCGAAAGGTGGCGTTCACCTCCTGGAACATAATTCCCTCCTCAGGCAACTGCGCCACGATGTCCTTGCTGGAGAAGATGGGGAGCAGGTACATCCATTGTACCTGAACGTTCGTCCACTCATTAATGGTACTTTGGATCCTCAGAAGAAGATCATAGAACAGCTTCACCTCTTTCTCAATGGGCTTCACGAAAGCAGAGCCCCTCATCACTTGTATCTTGATGATGTGTTCCTCCAGAAGAGCTTGAATGTCGTCCAATTGAGTCAGGATCGCTACTCCAGTATCTTTGTAAGGAGTTGTCGTGAAAAAAACATCATCCCAGTCGTGTTTTATCTTGCCCAATAGGTCTTGAAGGGCGAGTTCTTTAGTCGCACTGTTGCTGATCGCTTCGTACTGGTCCATATTATCAATCAAGTTCATTTTAATGATCTTCCTGAGGGTCGTACCAGCATCAGGGGTGATGTCTCTTCCAGCAACCAAGGACATCTCGTCCCAGTGGTGCTGACGGAGTGCAGGATTGCAGAAGCAGAGGGCTTGAGGCACGTACTGCTTGAACCATTTGATCTTTTCGATCAATTGGTGGCAGAGCTTCATTGGTGCTGGATACTGAAAGGGATCCGGGTCATCCACAGCCCCGGAAAAGGTGTAGGGGTAGCCCATCGCTATCTGCATCTTTATTTTCGTTCGATAAGCTTTCGATTGCTTGTTGAAATCGGTGAAGTAATCTGTTGTTCGGCTTTCTATGGAGTTGGCGTCAAGGTACTCGAAGGGTCCGTCCAACCAGACTCCGAGGTCTCTTTGCCACTGGAGTGCTCGATATATCAGACTGTAGTAAGGGAGGATAATGTCTTTCAGCTCTTTTATGCGAGGGTAGAACGTTTGGGGGAACTTGAAGAGTGCTTCTTCGGAATTTATCCACTGCACCTCGGCGTCCATACGATCGAAGTTGCGGACCATCCTTCGCATGGTTTCTATGTAGGGGCGGATTTGGGTGGCATCGTCCATGTCGTCGAGAATTGTTAGTCTAAGGGTGAAGGGAATTATTGAGGGATAAAGTGACTTCCGTTAGAGGTAAATTTTTTTTTATCGATTATCTAGGGATTGAAGCGTTTTAAGAGGAAATGGCCAAACGATTTCTGTAAACGATGAATATATGCCAACAAATTTTATAGAAAAACTTCGAGCATTCGCTTTAAAAAAGTGTACAGAAAAAATCACTAAATTTGTATCTGTCCATGCAACTTTTCCTACTAAGATTGTTTTTGCCTTCAGTTTTTGAATGAAAGAAGAAAAATAATGCAGTGAGCAAAATTTAGATAATTTATGTTGAGGAATTTCTATAGAAAATATATCCACAGAATAAGTTGTGGAGATAGATCAAAATCTGTAATAGGCATATCCATCAATCATAATTACTAGTAAGTTGTGAAGTTGTCAATTTTTAACGTAAAACTTAAAAATTTTAAATATTAAATTAACCATCAATTTGTACATTTAAATTTCGAAATATTCTATTAACCAATAATTTAGGTAGGAAGATCGACAATTATTTGGATAATCGAAAAATCAAGTACGCAAATTTAGAATTAGCTTGTTAATTAAAAATTACATTTCAATATTATCAAATATTTTATTCACCATCAATCGGAAAATGTAGTTAATAAATTGTACATTTTAAATTTGTTAAATATAGTTAAACTGTGAACAATATAAGTAGATAATCCCTTTTTAATATTGTCAAAATCTAATATTATTGCCCATCCCTGATCAAAATCTATCAATGTCTTATATAAAATATTTTCTGTACAATTTGTAAAAAACTAACAGACTTCCCAATAGAAATTCCATAGAATTTTCAACCGAATGCGCTAGTTTTCTTATTTTTTTTATCTGAGAGTTAATTGAACGTTTAGTAATACGCGTAAAAGATGGAATAGACATCAGACCTTTTTGACTACTAGTTAATATTATTGACTCACACGTGTGTACAATATTTTGGGTCGATCGATTAAGCACACCCTAACATAGAGCCATTTATCTAATAGTATATACCGACGTCGGTAGCTGAGTGGGCTGAGCGCAAGACTAGTGTGCGAAAGGTTGCGAGTTCGATCCCACGTGGAACTGAATTTTTCAGCCTGAGGCTCCGGCGAACGGAGGTTGCTAATGGAGTAACCGCCTGTACCAGCATGGGTTTCTTGTGGTTTCCTATGCTACTCCTATGTTCTATAGAAGTGCGAATGCGGTAAAGTGTAGAATCCACAGCCGCATGCATAGGGTTGGATAGAGTGCTGAATGGAACACGACAAAGGGACTTCGAGGCCATAAAATTAAAAAAATCTGATAATATAGTATTGGCACTAGGACTGGTAAACCGTAATTTTAACCTCGCCTCGCTCGGTTAAATCGCAGTTTTCAGGCCCAACTACGAAAAATATTGTTCGATACACGGTCGCGAAAAATGTTTCTGGCGAATATGAGGTTACAAGACGAGCCGGAGATGAGTTCTGTAATCATATGAGGTAGAAAAGTACCTAGTGTCGAAATATACTATTCTAGCCCTGGGGAGATAGAATGAATGAGTCATGCCCACGTGCAGGGAATTACCACCCAAACCGAAGGCGTCCTTCATTTTACCTCCCCTAGGATGGAATAGTATATTTCAGCACATGTGGGGCAATATCGTCTTTAACGTATGTGGGGTTTACAGCATGAGCCGAAGGCGAGTGATGTAACCACACACGTTAAGGACGAAATTTCCCACAAGTACTGAACAAAATTTTATGTCACGAAGCCTGAAATCGGCTGAATTAGACACGAGACGCGAAGCGTCGAGTGTGTAATACAGCCGGTTTCAGGCATGAGTGGCGTAAATATATTAATAAGATGCCTGCAAAGGATAGTTTGTATTGTTACGTGTCCCCCTTCGGATCCTAATTCAATTGTTGATCATCTAAAAGAAGCCCTCTTGGTAACGACTGTCTTTTGAGTAACATTGGATCTATCATTCTTCGTAGAGATCTATTGGACAACTCGAATTAAGAAACCGCCCCAATCCATTAAATTCTTCACTGAATAGATAGATAGATAGATAGATATACACGCGGAGGGGCGATTAAACGCCCAGAGTCACATATATCTTACGATCTTTTGTAACTTCAGCCTTTTTTCCTCGGTCTGTCTATCAGCCCTAGTCCTGTGCTTTTCACTAGGCTAATAAGGCTGTTGACTGCCACTTCGTTTAAATCAGCTGGTTCCAGAAAAGCCTGGTCCCAGTTTTTATATCTACGAATAGCTAACAGGGGGCGCTCGCACAGGGAGCCTATTCTCGAATTGAAATCGTACGTTCGACTTCAACAAGTCGCATACGGCCCGTAAGGCGTACCACGAGTCGCATTTGACCTATTGAAATCGAACGCACGATTTCAACTCGAGAATAGACTCCTAGAATATGCGCGGTGTTTTCCCATTTTCCTCCGCATAGCCTGCAGTCTTTCTGCTCGGCCAACTTCATTTTGTACAGGTGAGCTCTAAGAGTTGCGTGGCCCGTAAGGAGGCCTACCGCGACCGTCAGGTTCCTCTTGCTCATAACCAGAATAGTATTTTTCGGGCTGCTATTATGGGATTTTCTACTCGTGTGGCGTTAGCGTCCGAGCCGAAGGTGAGGACTGGCCAACCACATGAGTAAAAAAATCCTATCACAGCAGCCCGGGACAAGATTTTTTTGTAGTGATTTTCAAGTTTTCGAGTTTGGGACGTATGCAATACCAATTCCTAGACGAGAAACCGTGTGAAGCAGTACAGAAAATTCCTCTATCCTTTTGCTCGACTGGCGTCCCATAAACAGTTTTGTCTGTCTACAGTTCGCAGTATTTCTCCAGCGTTTCTCATGTTCCCGTTATAAGTGATCTTTAATAAGGTGATTTTGTTTTCTTCATTGAATACTACAGTATTATTTTGCTTTTTGATGAGCGGGAGGAAACTGAATACTTTCCGGTCAAGACTGGAAAGTTGCTCCGTCGGGCGGAAAGTACTGATTATTTTCCGCTCGTAGGAAAAATTTCCGTGTAGGTGTAAGAAAAAGTTAATAAACTGTGAACAATCAACATTTGTATTTCGATTCTAAACAGATTTTCACTATTCCTTCTTTGTTAATATTGTTAATCACCCCATTGCAGAACATCACGATATACAATTTTCATCCTCTTGCGGTTAGTTCTCAATATCTTGGAAACTAATTCACTGAACTAAAGTTTTCCAACACCAAAATATCCTGATATAATACCTATCGAATGAAATCAGAGAGTTCAGCAGAAACTGCCATTCTTCATTTTTTAAATGAAATTGCCCCGGATCCATTCGGAAGTTTATTGTCAATGTAATTTGTAAAAATAAAAAAATAACGCATAAAGTGACGGTCTCATGACTTGTATGAGATAAGCTCGGGCCCCTGGTTGTTTCTTTTTTTTGTTTCAAATACTTTTTTTAAAACAATTGTTGATGAATAGAGGTGGTTTACCTTGGAAACATCGCTTCAACTTGAGAATTTAATGCAGCAATCCTTCCCTGCAACCTCTCCTCCAATTCAAATTTTTTCTGCTCGAATATGGAGCTGTTTTGTTCAAACACTGGCTTTATTCGGTTCATCCAATTCACAGTGTCATTATTCAATTCAATGTGGTCCTGGTCCAGCGACGTCATCTCGAGCAAAGTGGCCATCATGTATAGAGACAAATTTATCTTCTCCCGTAACTCATTCAACAGGATAGTAGTCGCATACAGCATGTATTCACCTGGATTTAGACGAGAAATTGACACTGATCCATATTTCATGCTTCATTTCTTATTTACCCAGTTCGAGGAACTCTTTCGTCTCCGGAGGAATGTCTAAAGCTTTCTTTTTCAAAGCCTCAAAGATCGAACAGATTTCCAAGTTAAAATTGCAGTGTCTCTTTACTAATTCTTGGATTACGTGTTGAAGAATTTCTCTGGTATACTCCTTCAAACCAATTTTTGCTGGTTCTAAGAATAATTTTCCTAATGGAATATATTCATTTTCTGTCTGGAACCAAAAACAAAAAAAATGAGAGGAAATTGTCAAGCTAAATTATTTTCTCTGGATTGCAGTTGAATTTGCAATCAATTTCACTGTAAAATTCTACGACAAATCGAAACATCATGTTAACAATTTTCCTCAATCGCGTATTTTTATCGATATTAGTTTCATTTTCTTCAAAAACTTCCCTCAATATTAGCTGTCTACTACCGGCGTTGCTCCGCGAGAATAAAGTAACATTCTTATGAAATTTGATCATTCATTGTGAAGTTCTGAGTCAGAGATTTTTATTGCAAACTAGAAGAAACCTTTCTTCCCCGTGAATAATTCTCAAAATGATTTTATTTTTAATAAGATTTACAGAACTAATCGTTTCGTAAAAAATTTTCTCTTCACAATTGCATTTGTTTCTCACCAAGCTGTTAATCTCTCGAATAAACCGATTAAACTCTTCAACTTTATCCAGACAATCTTGGAAGCTGTGTTCTCCAGCGATGAAGATCGCAATCTCTTCAGGAGTCGCTGAACTGTAAACGACTCCGAATTTATTATATAAAACCTCGACATAAGCATTAACGGGTTGCAATAATATCTGCAGTATTCCTGCCAATTTTTCGTGGGAGGCCTGCATAAACCATTCGGGCAAAACCGCAGGGATGAATTCGTTCTCTGTTTTCATATCGAGCCAAGACTCCAATGGGGGCAATGATAGCCCGACGATTCCTAATCTGTCTAGCAGTGCGTGAAAACTCGAGGAAAAATCGATGGTACGTGGGAATACGAACATCTCGTTGTTCTCACATTTTAGGTCCAACTAAAAAAAGATCAATTAAAAATTTATGAATATGGGAATTTGATCGATCGTGTAACGTGTATGAGAGTCATCTATCATGAAGAAGTGAAATGTTAATTGATTTTGCGTTCATTTCGTTGAAGAGTGACTTTGGGGAAGAAAAGTCAAATTAGTATGAGGTATTCCACGCCAAATGAGTCAACCGTTGACCTTCACCCTCTTGGAAATTGATGATGATTTTTCTATGATTGGGGGGGTTAAAAAAATATCTCAAATTTTTTTCAAATTTTTTCGGCAGCCCAGTTTGAAGATATGATTTTTTTCTCGTTTTTCCGTTTGTTTTCAATAACTCGAGTTCTATCCATCCGATTTTGATTTAGTAGGCGTCAAAATTTTTCATTTTTTACTGCCCATAAGAATATTTTTAGTAAAAATTTTTTTTTGATCTTTAGATGCTCATAATAACGAATTTTCGAAGAAAAAAGTTGAAAAAGTTGAATTTTGCAAATTACGTCACTTTTAATTTGTTTCATTTTTTTCAGTAATTCTTGTAATCAAAACAAGTAGTTTGAGCCGTTATACAAGTTGGGGACCCTTCTGGATCTATTTTATTTTCAATTTTTTCTTTTCGCAATTCCGCAAATTTGGTCAAAACACCCCAAAATGGCAATGATTGACTGATTATAGACCGTATGAAGTGAATTTGACTGTATACCTATATATTACATATTTTTTCCATGCATAGTCGAAGTAGTGTTGGGGTGTTTTGACCAAATTTGCAAAATTTCGAAAGGAAAAAATTAAAAATAAAATAGATCCAGGAGGATGCCCAACTTGAATGACGGTTAAAAATACTTGTTTTGATTATAAAAATTACTGAAAAAAAATTAAACAAATAGAAAATGACGTAATTTGTAAAACTCCACTTTTTCAACTTTTTATTTCGAAAATTCATTATGAGCATCTAGGAATTGAATAAAAAAATTAGTAGAAATACTCGTATAGGCGATAAAAAATGGAAAATTTTGACGCTTAATAAATCAAAATTGGACAAAGAGAACTCGAGTTATTGGAAAAAAACGGAAAAATGTAAAAAAAAATCAGATCGCCCAACTGGGCTGCCGAAAAAATCTGAAAAAATTTGAGAGATAGTTTTTCAACCCCCCCAATGGTAGAAAAAATCGCCCTCAATTTCCAGGAGTGTAAGGACCAGCGGTTGCCTTATTTGGCATGGAATACCTCATATATTTCGATACAAGTGTGACAGAATTTTGTGAGACGGCCGAGGCGAAGCCGAGAGTTGCCAATTACACGAGTTGAAAATTCCCGTCTCACATGTGTCGCATAATATTTTTTGACGCTGCTACGTTCACCTCGTGCCGAAATAGTAGATTACACACCTTGGCCAGTAAAGTAAGGAATGTCTCAGATCACATGTAATTGTCGGCCGAGGCGAAGCCGAGGTCAACAAACATGTGATCTGAGGCTTTCTTATTTACTGGCCAAGGTGTGTATACTATTTTTCTGCTCGACGGAGCCGGAAAGTGGCAACTTCGTTTAGCGCAGCGGCCAGGAAGTTGACGCTTTCCGGCCGGAGGGCAGAAATAGTATTTTTCCGGCCTGTTGCGATGGGGTTTCTTACTCGTGTGGCGTTGGCCTCCGAGCCGTAGGCGAGGACCCAACGCCTTCGGCGAGGAGACTAGTGCAAGGAGGTCGCCTTCGGCTCGTGATATAATCCCACGAGCTAAAAAACATTTTTTTAAGAGTTACGAACAATATTTTTCATCACAATGTGGCGGAAATTGGACTTTTAGGCACGCGGAGCGTGCCGAAAAGTTCACTTTTCGTCACAGCGTGATAAAAAGTCTTTTTCATCACGCTGTGCGAAAAAGTAACTTTTTAGACACGCTTCCCGTGCCTACACGGAGAGAAATATTCAATAAAAATTACGTATTTTTTCCTAAATTCCGGAGCGAAATATGGTTGTAGGAAATTTTACGGAACTGTCACGGAATTTTTCCGCGTTCCGTAATTTTTATCTGAATCTCCTGTGAAAAATTACGATTACCGTCACTTAAATTTTCTGAGTCGATTCCGTAATCGGTGAGCGAACTTCGAGTTCCGTAATTTTTATTGAAAATTTCTCTCCGTGTAAAACGTCCCTTTTCCACACATTGTGATGAAAAATAACGTTCGATACTTGTGGGAACTGTTTTTTGGCTCGTGGGAGGTTTATAGCACGAGCCGAAGGCGAGCGATATAATCCCACGAGCCAAAAAACTTTTTTCCGCACTCATAATGAAATATACTACTAAGTAACCCGTTTCGTATTCTCATTGCAATGCCGTCTAGAACCATGACTCTCTTAAAATGAGTAACTTCTGAGAATTAGTAACTTTTTTTTCTCTGTGGAGATTATTGAATTGAAATTCAAATTTTTCTTCACATTAACTGATTCGTCATAAAGAAAAACCACGTGGAGGTCTATCTACAATTAATAATTACTCTGCAGGGTCCATGCACGAAACGACGTACTGTTTGTTTTCCGCACAACGCCTTTAATGTTTTAAAGTCGTGCGTAATAGTACAATAGGGGCCATTCGAATATTACGCCACACATTTTTTGGACTTTTTAAATCCCCTCCCCTCCTTTAGTGGCAAACCGTCACAAACACGTACCTCCCCTTGTGACATGAACACTCTCATTCGTTGAATACGAAGTTAATTATGCTTGAGTGGTCTATAATATTTTATATCACCCCGTGTAATAAACCCGATTTATTGCACGGGTTAAATAAAAAAATAAGAGCTTATTAAAAAATTTTGAAAGTCGTAAAATATAGTATATTGTGCTACTAGTGCGTAAAGTTCCACTTTTTCATACGCACGTGCAGCATATCCTATTTTTTGTGGTACCTGCCGAGTTCACTTTTCGAAACAGTAGTGGGGGTAATGTGGTTGTTTTTGTGCGCAAGAATTCACTTGACGCACGCTGGTGACCTTTACGCACGCCGTGCGGAAAACGACCGCTTTACACACACTAATCCGTTTCGAAAAGTGCACTTTTGACGCAGGTATCACAAAAAGATTTAAAAAATTCTTAAGTTGAAGCCTGAACGTTGAGAGTTCAAAAGTCTCAATTTGAAACTGGGAAATCTCAACTTAAGCCTTCTGAAACTCTCAAGTTAAGGCTCTGGAAGGTCTTCATTTCAGATATTCATAGTCTCAAGTTGAAATCATAAGTCTCAAAATAAGGTTTTTTTTAGGTTGTATTGCACCGGGTGGTAAAGTAAATTTCGAACGTCGGTTCTCTTACTCTGCACAACAAAATTAAAACCTTTGCTCCCACCATACCCCGAAAAGTGAACTCGGCAGGTATTATCACGTATGAAAAAATCGTATAAAAATTTTCTATACGGATTGCGTACAGAATTTCTATAGGATTTTCGTATATGATATTCGGATATTTCTACATGGATATTTTTATACAAATTATTTCTATACGATGTCTATAGGTTTGATTGTATACAACCCACTGTCACATGTATACAAACATTTCGAATGGAGTTGCGACATTTCTCTGCGTTTTTCCCTGGAGCGTTTAGACATCTTTCGTATGAAAACAAAAATTTATGTAAAAATTTATGTATAGAAATAATTCGTATTAAAAATATTCGTATATAAATATGCGAATATCATATACGGAAATCCTATAGAATTTCTATACGCAATCCGTATAGAAAATTTCTATACAATGTTTTCATACGTGTACAAAAAATGGGATGGGTTACACGTGCGTGTGAAAAAGCGAAACGTCACGCACTGCTAACACAATACACTAATGTATTGAATTGAAATAGTACAACTACACTGAGAGAAAAACAAACACGTTGTCAAACAAGTCTTGTTTGGACCAACAGAATCGTTAGTTGAAAATTGCTAAAAAAGAATTAGTTTGGTTCGAATTTGAAAGTCTCAAACATGAATAATTNATGTTTTCATACGTGTACAAAAAATGGGATGGGTTACACGTGCGTGTGAAAAAGCGAAACGTCACGCACTGCTAACACAATACACTAATGTATTGAATTGAAATAGTACAACTACACTGAGAGAAAAACAAACACGTTGTCAAACAAGTCTTGTTTGGACCAACAGAATCGTTAGTTGAAAATTGCTAAAAAAGAATTAGTTTGGTTCGAATTTGAAAGTCTCAAACATGAATAATTGTTCTGCTTTCGACAGCAACGAAATATTTGGCTCAAGAGGCGGATAATTCACGCCAGACCGTGCCTTTTCAGGATGAAAATATCTCATATAGAGGAAAATTTATCAACAAATACTTTATCCCTAAGTTACAAGATTGCTATCATATCATTATTATTGTTTCATTTAAGGGTTCATTTCTTACCTGTGATTATTAGACAGTCGAAACGAAAAACTACTATTCCTTGTTTCGCATGAAACAAAGATTTTTCGGGAGCAAAATACATATGGGAGTATCGAATAACGAAGGAGTAGTGCTAGAAATGACATTTCTTGCGTCTATAGAGAACGTATTTTGTTTGAACTACTAAATCTATTTTTGCGACAAAATTTTTTCATTCCGGCACACTCTCTGCATGTTTGGCACAAAAAATCCTTTTTTGATCATTTTCAAAAAATTATTTTCTTGGCACATATTGGAACCGCATTGAGCATTATTACCCGACAGCGGGTAATACCGCTCAATCGGCTCTCACTTTCGTTTTTCATTTATTTCACAAATTTGGACTTGAATTAAGTCTCTGCACTTCAGAAATAACACCTTGAATAGTTAAACAAGAAATTTAAATAATTGTTCACATTCTGGATTGAGGGTTAAGATCCGAAATTAGGAATTTTCCCTTAGGTGAGCGGTACAGGGCTATCCTTCCCTACCACCGAATACTTTTTTACTGTTATCTCTCATGATTTAGCATTACGTGATAATCTTCTCACTACAACTTACGAAGATATAACGAGTCGAATGAAACGTTTTCCCATTGCTCTCGTCTAATATTCCCAGAACCATTATAAAATTTATTACCTTTAATAAAGGGCTGATGGAGGGATCACTCAAGACAGCCAAAAAATGATTTATGCTCTTAATGACTTTCCGAGTGACTTGATAGGCAAGTAATTTGGTAGAGGCGTGGAGAAATGGGCGTAGTAAATGACTGGGAATATCATTTAAATATCTCTTAGTTGTTAGGAGCTTTACGATGTAGGCATAGTAAGTATTTGTCACTGCTAACTCTCCTTTTCGAATATCTTCCTCAACTATTTGAAAAAATCTGAAAAAAATAACAGAATTTTCATATTTTCATCTCGCTTCAGGGTAATTCTCTCCTCCATGTGCGAGAAGTAACAATGTAATAGAAATAACAACTGAACAGAATCGGGTAAAATTTGGAATCAACGTTCACCCGGCTAAAAAATTCGATTTTGGCGAAAGTCGACTCTCCCCCTTGAAAAATCCAAGATAGTACATTCCGATACTAGGCTGTGAGGAACTTTTCTGTAATCATATGAGGTAGAAAAGTTCCCATGACCGTATGTCGAACAAGTCACCATGTTCCCATGTCCGCTTCGCGTGCCTAAAACGTCCCTTTTCCACACATTATGATGAACAATATCGTTCGAAACTCGTGGGAAAAGTGGTTTTTGGCTCGTGGGAGATTCATCGCATGAAAAAACTCTTTTCCGCACTCGGAACGAAATATACTATTTTGTCATTAGTCTCTCTTCGCTCGGATAAATCGCGGTTAATCGGGTCTAGTGAAAAAAAATATTGTATGTCACACTCACCTTCGGGCTCGGAAGACCCATTCGTCAAATAATGGAAAAATCCAAGATCTGACATTTTGGCCCCCGATGAAAAATTTTTTTTTTCAGTTTCCACTTTTTCCACATTCTTTTGATAGTTCTGAATAGCCGTTGCTTAAATAGTTGGAATCAACGTTCACCCGGCTAAAAAATTAGATTTTGGCAAAAAATGAAGTCGACTTGCCCCTGGAAAAACGGAAAATCTGACCCTTT